AACGTTTATTTTCTGATAAGCTTGGACCCAAATATGATAAATGCTTCTTTGTCGGATATCCTAAAGAAACGAAAGGATATTACTTTTATAATCCATCAGAGAACAAAGTGTTTGTTGCTCGAAATGGTGTCTTTTTAGAGAAAGAGTTTCTTACTAAAGGAACCAGTGGGAGTAAGGTAAACCTCGAAGAAGTTATTGTGCCACAAGAGGATGTTCCAGTTCATGAGGAACCTCAATTAGATCTACAAAGAGTTGTAGAGTCTACTCCAGTGGCACCTATAGTTCGTAGGTCTGAAAGAACACATCGTGAGCCTATGAGATATGGTTTTCACGTGACAGAACACCGTCATCTATTGTTAATAGAAAATGACGAACCTACGACCTATACAGAAGCTATGATGGGCCCAGACTCCGATAAATGGCTTCAGGCCATGAAATCCGAAATGGACTCGATGTATCAAAACAAAGTTTGGACTTTGATTGATCCACCCGAAGGTGTCAAACCTATAGGGTGCAAGTGGGTTTTCAAGAAGAAAACTGATATGGATGGAAATGTTCACATCTATAAAGCACGGCTAGTAGCTAAAGGTTTCAAACAAACTCATGGTATTGACTATGACGAGACCTTTTCGCCAGTGGCCATGCTTAAGTCCATTCGGATTATCCTAGCGTTTGTTGCATATTATGACTATGAAATATGGCAAATGGATGTAAAGACAGCTTTCCTTAACGGAAATCTTGAGGAGGATGTGTATATGACACAACCTGAAGGCTTTACATCACCAGATAACACTGGGAAGATATGCAAGCTTCAACGTTCTATTTATGGATTGAAGCAGGCATCACGGAGCTGGAATATTCGTTTCGATGAAACTGTCAAAGAGTTTGGCTTCATCAGAAACAAAGAAGAAGCTTGTGTATACAAGAAGTCTAGTAGGAGTGCAATTGTGTTTCTAGTGTTGTATGTGGATGACATACTACTCATTGGAAACGACATTCCTATGCTTCGCCGGTTAAGACATCGCTAGGAAAATTTTTCTCCATGAAGGACATGGGAGAAGCAAACTATATCTTGGGGATCGGGATCTATAGAGATAGATCTAAGAGACTTATTGGACTGAGTCAAAGTACATATGTTGACAAAGTCATCAATAGGTTTAATATGCAAGATTCCAAGAAAGGTTTTCTCCCAATGACACATGGCATAAGTCTTAGCAAGACTCAGTGTCCTTCAACACAAGATGAGCGAGACCGCATGAGTAGGATTCCTTATGCATCACGTGGGATCCATCATGTATGCTATGTTATGCACTCGTCCCGACGTTGCTTATGCATTGAGCATGACAAGTAGATACCGATCGAGATCCGGGGAACCTCACTGGATTCTTTGTCAAGAATATCCTTAAGTACTTGAGAAGAACTAAGGATTTATTCTTAGTCTATGGAGGTGAGGAACAGATCACTGTAAATGGTTACACTGATGCTAGTTTTCAAACCGACAAAGACGACCTTCGATCGCAGTCAGGTTTTGTCTTTTGCGTGAATGGTGGAGCGGTGTCTCTGGAAAAGTTCCAAGCAGGAAACTCTTGCAGATTCTACAACAGAAGCTGAGTATATTGCTGCTTCAGAAGCATCAAAGGAAGCTATTTGGATTCGAAAGTTCATAGAAGAACTGAGAATCAGTCCCACTAGTTCGATTCCAGTGGACCTCTATTGTGACAGCAATGGGGCCATAGCTTTGGGTAAAGAGCCTAGGTCTCACCAGAAGACCAAACACATACTCAGGAAGTATCATCTCATTCGAGAATTCATTGAAAGAGGTGATGTCAAGTTGTGTAAAGTTGCAACGGAGTTGAATACAGCTGATCCGTTGACGAAGGCTCTTCCACAACCTAAGCATGAGCGTCATTGTAACGCTTTAGGCCTTAGACACATTAGTGATTGGTCTTGATGTGAGTGGGAGTATATGTGATATACATTTTCATTGTTCATTAATAATATATATATTATATTTGATTTCGATTTAATTTGAGTATATAGTTGAATGCGAAATCTTTATCCCCTGAATATTGAATATCCTTAATAGATAATCAAATACGTGATTTGATCGTGAAATTCTATTGATAGAGTGGTTATTAATGTTCTAAATGTCCCTAGTCAATTTGCCATTGTGCATTGGGACGCAAATGGCATATGAGACTAGCATGTGAGTCAACTGATGACCAAGTTTCACGGGTCATGAATATAGAGATATAAAGTTGATCACATGGAATACATGTTGGAGAACATTGTATTGGACCGACCCGCTATGAGAATACTGTAGGATTGTTATATAATGTCATCAATATTTCTCATCACAGCTATAGAGTATAGTCCTTTGACCTGAGTCTGCCATAGTTTACTAGACATGGATTGGCATGCTTTAACATTGCCAAACGTCAGCCGTAACAGGTGATTATAAAGGTAATGACTGGGTATGTCATGAAGCGTGCTGAGTGATGTGAGTAGACAAGATGGGATTTGTCCCTCTCATATAACGAGGGTATGATTTCCTGGCCTCCCGTAGAGTTGAGACTGTGAAATGCATGGCCATGCTCAAGTGAGTTGAAGAGTCAACTACTTGTTTTGACAGTCTAACTGCGGTATCGGGAAAATGAGTTTAAGCTATATAAGAATGACACTTGTCCTGCCTTATGCTTAACTCGGAAATCAAGTGACAAAAGAGACTTAGTTTATATGATTGGTTCTAGTGCAAGTGGGAGATTGTTAGTGGTCTGCCCTAGGAATCAATCAAGGTTGATACTCTAATATTAGTTGTGGATTAGGTTGTGTCGGAAAACCGATCTTCACTATACTTAGGTAGTCATAATGTGTTGCTAGAGACCGCTTATGACTTGTGGGCCAAAAGAGTTTTGGGCACACTGCTAATGTTTAGTGAACCTACAGGGTCGCACACAATAGCGAACGGACTTAATATTGTCTATGCGCCTTGATCTACTTAAGAAGTAGATTTTAATTTATTCTCCTATTTAAATTATCTATGCGGTCGTACGCGTTATGAGATAACGATTAAACGTACGATTGAAGGTGGACGGTTTGGCGGGCCCAAATAGCCCGGCCCACTTCTTTTAATTCCTCTAGATAATGAGGCTGTATAAATAGATAGAGAATCGTTCTCTGTCTAGGGTTTTTTCGAAAGAGTATCGAAAATCAAAAGGCGTTCAAGAAAAGGAACTTCAAGATCTTTCGCTAGCACGTGGATCGTTGGAGAATTCCGTTCGTGTGTGTGGATACCGGTAGAGGCGCAACACTTGGGGCGCTCATCCAGACACAATCAGTTACTGATTTATCTTCGATCTGTAAAAGGTACGTATCGAACTTCAGTCTCGATTTCAATATACACATGGATCCTGTCTAGGGTTCTATATTCCGCTGCATTGTTTTTCGTTGTTGAACCCTACACCTCTATCCCTTATGAGCTTAGCAAGATGTTGCCGTAGGGCCGGCACAAAGAGGGGTTGATTTCTGAAGAGGATATTGTTCCGTGTCATCCAGATAATATGTCATAATGCTCCAAATGAGAAGCGAGCAATTCGCTGGTGGAAACTGTGGCCGCCTATGAAGCGGATGGCCCATTGGAGATTATCTTGCCATGACTGGTTTCTCCAAGAAAGATTACATTTATCCGCCCAGAGTAGTGCAAGGGTACCCATGATAGGACACCTAAAAAATAGATGATCAACAGAATCGGGTCTACATTTACAAAAGGCACAAACACCTTCCGATATTCTGCGATAATTAAGCAAAACGACCTGTGTTGGGAGCCTATTCAGTGATATAAGCCACAACAAAAAGCCATACCTCAGCGCAATGCTCTGGTCCCAAACGAAGGAACACCAAGGGACAATAGGTCTGCTGATTCTGATCAGCTCCCATGCCGAGGCCACAGAGAAGATACCCGACAAGTGGCCCTTCCACAGTAATCGATCAGGTCTCTGTACATCCAGATCAGGGATAGCATCCGGCCAGGAGTTGAAGGTTTGAAGCATATACGAGCTATGCCAGGAACCGGAAAAGAACTCCCGAACAGAGGCCTCCCTCGGGATACCAGAGCAATAAATGTCCCTATTGGAAAAGAGATCTGAAAGAGGACCTTTGGGATGCCAAGAATCAAACTAGAATGATGTGGTTGCACCATCACCAATTTGCCATTTGAAGAACATTTGAAAATCCCGGCGGATGTCGAGAATTTTTTTCGAAGCCCAAGAACAACAAGTCGGCTTGGGCGCTATCCAAAAATTCTTGTTCTTCAGAAAGGTGGAGTGAATCCACTTACACCATAAAGATTCTTTATCCGTGAAAAGAGTCCATATATGTTTGAGCATTGCTGAATGATTACAATCAAGGAGTCTACGAATACCCAAGCCACCTTCCTCTTTAGGGAGACAAACATCAGACCAGGGGACTTTAGCCCCACCAACGCCAAGGTCCGGACCCTTCCAGAGGAATTGTCTAAGGATCAATTCAATTCTAGACAGAACAGACAGTGGGAGCGTGAATACACTTGCCCAGAATACTTGAATAGCATGAAGGACTGACTTAATGAGTTGTAATCGGCCAACAAAGGATAGAAATCTTTGGGACCAAGAACGAGCACGTGCAGTAATGGAGTTCACTAATGAAATACAATCCGCCTTACTCAACCTGGTCGAGATAATAGGAACCCCAAGGTATCTAAAGGGAATCATACCTTCATTGAAGCCAAACACATTCCGGATCTGTCCTCGAATTTCCGGTGTCCCACCAGAGAAAAATATGTCACTTTTGTTGGCATTAGGCTTCAATCCAGACCACTTAGAAAATAGGTCCAGGCCTTCCTTCAACAAGGTAGAAGAGTTTATATTCCCCTCAATAAATAATAGGACATCATCAGCAAAGAACAAATGGGTTAAACCCATGGGTTTACACCTCCAGAAATATTTGAAACCCGGACGCCACGCCTAAGTGTCGAGAATCCCAGAGAGTACTTCCATCACTAGTGTAAAAAGGTAGGGAGACATAGGATCCCCTTGACGAATACCTCTATCACTTGCAAAGAATCCATGTAACTCCCCATTAATAGCAATGGAGAATTTTGGAGAGGTAACACACTCCATGATAAGTTTAACAAACAACTGAGGGAAACCAAAGGTTTGCAAAACCGTTTCCAAGAAAGCCCAATCTACTGTGTCATAGGCCTTCTGAAAATCAACCTTAATTGCACACTTTGGCCGATAAGGCTCATGATGAAACCCCGCAAAGAGCTCCTGAGCAAGAAGAATATTGTCTCCTATCCTCCGTCCCTTAACAAAAGCATTTTGGGAGTTGCTAATAATGGACGGCAGAACAAAGGCTAGCCTATTAGCCAAGATCTTGGTAATACATTTATAGACTGTGTTGCAACAAGCAATAGGCCTAAAATCATTCATAGACGAGGCATTAGGAATCTTCGGCACAAGAGTGAGAATCGTAGTATTGATCTCCTTTAGAAGCGATCATGACCGAAAGAAATCCTTAATAGCCAGCACAACCGAAGGACCCACAGTTTCCCAGGAAGATATAAAGAAATCAACATTAAAACCATCGGGCCCAGGGGCCTTACCTTTTGCAAGGGAGAACAAAGAGTTCCGAATTTCAATGTCAGTTACTTCTCTAGAGAGAAAGAGAATCTGATTAGCACTAAGGGCACGATCCACCACAGCCCGAACTTCTGCACACGTAGGACGCAAGGTTGGAGAGTTCGCCTTAAGAAGAGTCTCAAAGAATGAGACGATATGACTGTGAATCAATCTCGGGTCAGAGAGAACAGCTCCATCATCATCCGACACCGAAAGGATCCGATTATGAAGTTGTCTCTTGTTAACGAAATGGTGGAAATATTTGGAGTTCATGTCCCCCTCTTTCAACCATTTAATCCTTGATTTCTGTTTAAAGAAACTTTCCTCCTGGAGTCTAAGATCCGAAAATACCTGAAGATGCTCCTTTTCCAGGTTTGCCAAGTCCATGCTAAGAGGGTCCAGAGCGAGGGCGTTTTGAGTGGACGTAAGATTAGCCCTGGCTTGAGAAGTACGCGTTGAGATATCCGAAAAAGAATCCCTATTGAGCTGCCTGAGACGCCCTTCGAGCAGTTTAAGTTTTTGGTAGAGGACATACATAGGGGTTCCACCAATGCGAGAATCCCATACCTGGGCTACAATCGTAGGAAACAAGGATGAGTCATCCAACAGTTGAAAAATTTGAATGGTTTCCTTGAGAAGGTGGCGAGAGCAATTCTAACAATTATGGGAGTATGGTCAGAGACTCCTTGGGCTAGAAAGTTGGCCTCCGAGAAGGAGAACGAGCTGAGCCATTGATCGTTAATCAATGCTCTATCAATTTTCCTTTGCTTGCGAGAGACACCAAAAGATGTCGCCCAAGAAAACCGATGGCCAATATATCTTAAGTCATCAAGGCCAGCTTGATCTAAACAATGGCCAAGTTCATCAAACGCCAGTATCCAGGTATTAGAACTACCCAATCTATCCGAGTTGAATCGGATTGCATTAAAATCGCCTGCTACCAGCCAAGGTTCAGCCTCAAAAAATTCGCTGGACCTAATAAGATTAGCCCATAGAGAACGCCTAGCAATAAAGGTATGCTCCCCATACACAACCGAGAAGAAGCAAGTCTTATTGAGAGCCAAAATACGGACATGGCCGTGGATAACTTGAGAGGACAAAGAGATAACTTCCAGGTCTACCTCATGAGGTTTCCATCCAATCCAAATTCTTCCATGAGGAGAACAATTATAATTGGCAGTCCACACCCAGCCAGGTAAAAGCCCAGTAGAGATCTTTTCAAAAAGAGTCGGACTAATTTTCGTCTCAAGTATACCAATACAAGAGATATTATGAGCTCTAACAAGGGCTCTAATTTCGGCATGCTTAAGGGGGACACCAAGGCCCCTAATATTCTAAATACCAAAAAACATATAGAGATAAGAGGATGGGACTACCGCCTTTTAGAGCCGCCCCGATTTCTTGGTTTCGGTTTGGCCACCTTGGTGGAAGGAGGATTGGAAGCTGCACTGGGGTTTTCCACTGGAGCAGACACGGGGGCTACAAAATCGCCCTGGATAGGGTCAATACCCCTGGGCGCATTACCATGAGCATTAGGGGCGTCCCTGGACTGAGTAGGAATGACAGAATCACGTAGGGGCACTTTCAATCTAACCGTCGGGACAGGGGAGGAAGAGTCCTCCTCCTTATCACTACCAACACTGCTGGCTGAGTCCTCTTCATTAGCTTCTGATACAGAGGAGGCGTTAGAAGAATCCCGAGAGGACATATCAGGTTCTGGGACAGGGAACGTATTAACAGCCTCATTTGCAAGACTTAGAGTGGGTGCATTAGAGATCGGGGGGGGGGGGGGCACCAATGCAGAGGACGGATTCGCTGGTCCCCGCTTCTTTTTAACCGTCTCCCAAGCACCATCCACGAGAGAGGGCTTGTTAATAGCAGCATCAGGAATTGGACTAACTTTAGGACTCTCCATGGGCGCCTCAGTGGGAGTAGCACACCTATGGCCAAAAGTACCACAAGTCATACAGGATATTGGGCGCCACTCATACTCCACTTTTATCGACCAAGTTTCCCCATTTAAGATAACATCCACAGAATCAAGAAGAGGCTGGGACGCCTTGATCTCTACGCACACTCTAGCGTAGGAGATCATTCTCATTTTTTCCGTCTGCATATCAACATGCAGCGGTTTCCCAATTGGACTGGCCACCGCGCTGATGCCCGAAGCCGACCACAAGGCATAAGAGAAGTTCCTTAATTTAATCCAGACCGGGAGAGCCTAGTGTTGGTTTTTGTTGAGCTTCAATGCCGGGTTCCACTGTTGGAGTATCATAGGCACCCTAAGGATAGTAATCGGGCCACTATCCAATATTTTCCGACGAAAGGCTTTATCAGGTATATGGAAGAAAAAGAATCCATCTACATTTGCTAGGACATCTACCACTTGTGTCCCCCATAGATTTTGAACTGTACTCTCCGTCAATTTAAAGGGCAATTTCTTGCCAACGAAATAGCCAACAATACACTCCAACCACATCGGGTTAGTATCCTCTAGAATTTCCTCTGAGATTCTAACAACCGGTTTTCCATCTACCATAGATGGAGGAATATAGGACAGAGAATACCCCTTCACTGCTGACTTAGCAACAGCTGCCAATGAACGTTGGGTTTGCTGTGTTGGGTCCCTACTGGGTGGCTTAGCCACCGCTTCATCTCTGCTATTTTGCCTAGCAACAGCTGAGTCATTTCGAGGATGCTTGTACAGATTTCTTCCCCGGCTTCTGCTTCGCCTAGAAGGCTTCTGTACCTGCTGGGTTTGGGCATTAGAGGTACCCGGGACATCTAAAGCATTAGGGGGATTTACTGCCATAGCTTCCACAGCGGCCGATTGGGGCCTGCTATGTCCACGACTACCGGGACGTTGTGACTGACGAGCCACAGCATCGGAATTACCAGTTTCCATTGAAGCACCAGGGACATCAACTTTCGCAATTTCCACAGAAGGTGCGATTCTCTGAATGGCTTTGGATGAGCCAGTCTTAGCAACAGAATGATGCTTAGGGATCTTTGAGAGTACCTTGTCTTGCACAGGTTCTGCCAATTCCATAGGTGCCTTCGATTGAAGGAGAGACCCCCCAATGCACTGATTTCCAGCCATGGCCAAGCTTAGAACAGAAATGCCATGAGCAATTCGAAGGGCAAACCAGAAGGAAGGCCACCGAGAATCTTGACACACCGATTAACAGGGGTTACTTTGAGTGAATACCACCGATACAACACAGCAACTGGCCAAGCCTAGAACCAAAATCAAACAGAAAAGCCAGTCTGAATGACCAAAATCGAAGAGAGACCAGTCGGGTGAACAGTAGCCGAAGAACAGCAACGAAACCCAGAAAAACCCAGAACTGCAGACCCAACTACCAGAGGCCACCTTATGAGAAATCCTTTGGACAAGAGGCAATCTAGCAACTGGCAAAGCCCAGACCCAGGGAACAACAATATTCGACTATCTGAACTACCAGAATCGGAGGAAGAAACCAGTCGAGTGAATAGGGACTAAGAACAGTGAAGAAACTGATTCCCAGATCTGTTTACCAGAATAACAAGGGCTTCCTCAAGCGAAATCCTCCGGTCCAGAGTTAGAACAGCTGCTGGTGAGGCCCAACACCAAGGAACAGCAAGAATCATCGGTCAAAGAGCCCAGAATCGATGAACATCCAAGCGGATGAATAGTGCCAGAATCGCCAGAAACGGGAGAGAAAGCTGCACAGTTCCGAGTGAACAATACCAGACGCAATTGAAAAGTTAGCCTAATGTACTTGTCATTCTCGAACTTTCAAATTATTCAATATGGTCCATGGACTGTTAATACATGTTTAATTTAGCCTTTGGACTGTATAAAAATGTTCAATGTTGACAACATTTAACATTTTCATATAGTTCAATGACCAAACTAAACATGTACCAAAAGTTCAGGGATCACGTTAAGCAAATTAAAAGTTTAGGGGCCACATTGCATATTGGGCCAAAGTTCAGGGACTACATTGAACAAATTAAGAGTTCATGAACCACATTGCATAATGGGTCAAAGTTCGAGGATTATTTGTGTCATTATCCCATATAGATACTAAAAAGTGTAACATTAGGTATACTAAAATTAATATACTAAATTAGCATCTAAACAAGTCAACTCTAATCGACATCCAACAACAACCTAAAAATCACTAAGCGTATAATATTGATCTTCGTGCTTCATACTATATTCTTATTTTGTGCTAATTATAATAATCTTCGTGCTTCATATGCCCCTGTGCAAAATGACAACCCGTTAGTTGTGGAACCACATGTTAATTCGATAATGGACCGTGAGCTGAAATCACGCTTCCTGTTATAAGTGTGCACTAGAAAATTGTTCATCATTTGCCTGACGTCGATTGTTGGATTAAACTTAGGAAGAGATGGACCATACACCGTCTGTGGAAAGGGTGTAAAGAAAATTCTATACACGACCCTATCCGTCGTTGATTTGAAGATTATAACTACTGTTTCGTCGAAAAGTTATCAATGAAAGACCTTTCAAACTGTCGATTGATATGAGAACTGACAAAGGATGCGAAGGGGTGCTTTGTCGATTCTTGGACAGGAAACGCGATTTGACAAGAAAGTTAAAAGCACGGGAACTGGAGGCAATCGCGAATAATCATATAAAGAGCAGTGGAATGTAAAGATAACAAGAAGATATATTTGAACAAGCAGTATACATTGATCGATTGATGGTATTTTGCTCGAATTACATTTCTAATACTTATGGCTACTACCGACGGTTAATAATAGTTACAAAAAAGAACAAAACACACACTATGCGACTCCTAAAATTCGGCAACATGTATTTACAAGCAGTTACTAAACAAACCCTCTTTGAATTGTGCCCAACACCGGCCGCAACTCCTACAATTCTACTTCATGATGGTTACAACAACCCATATTTCTTGGCCACTACGGCTAGTGGCTTTCGAAATCAGCGGCTCCGTGATCTGATGATTGTGCTGATCCTATAACCGTGTCGATCTTCACAACTGCTCTCGAGATTGCCGGCTCCGCAGCTTGGACAACTGCTCTGTTTCTAATCCATTGCAAATTACTTCAGTCTCGAGTCTCTTGTCGACTAAACCAAGCCTCATTTGTCGACGCTCGCACCTCAGGAGTTAGTAACTTCCCTTCGTTGTTGATGCCGGCAATGACTTTCATTGTCCCGTCAACCGTCCATATTTACCGATTAATAGCTCCCAGCGCTTAGCAAAGTTTACTTCTGCTATGCATCGCTCGGCCTCTCCTAAGTCGTGCCGTCGGTCAGGAATTTGGGCATTTTTTGGTATCAACAACTGCTACTATCTTAAACTACTAGTGTATAAAGCCGCTCGTGTAAATTGTTTTTGGCACCGACACGCTTTTAATTTAAGTTGCTTGTGACGTTGGGTTAGCTTAAAGTCTCCAACTCCTTTGGGTAGGATTAGACATGTATTGTCGGATTAACGTGAGGAGCGGATTCCATGGTTGCATCAGCTTCAGTGCTCACATAAGTCCTGCCTTTTATTATTAAATTGTTGCAATTTGATTTCGGGGTGACCACACTCATCGAAACGCGAGTAAAGTTGAGGTTTCGTCAAAAAAGATCTTGGAAACACCGTTTTTGTTTTCCAAGGTGAAGGCAGAAACTTTGAGATTAATAAACCTCAATATCGAGTGGTTAAGTGCTTTAATTTGAATATGTTTGACCCTATAATTTGATCATGACAACATCCACTCAAAGTAACTTTGGAACAAATGCACGACACTTTATGAATGGAGTCTTATTCAATATGCACGTGAACATGATATATGTACGAATATATAGAGATTAGTCAAACCAAAATACTCGAATCATGTGTTCACAAAAAAAATTTTGATACTGAGGCTCCATTTGTTTCGTAGAAAATTCGTGATTTTTTCCTAAAAATGATCGTATGTATTGCTTGAAATATTTAATACATAAAAAATGTTTTCCTTATCAACAATAATTTATATTTCGACAATTTCCGGGACAATATCAAATGGTTAAGTGCTTGATTTGAATGCGCCCGATCCCATAATTTGATCATGACAACATCCACTTAAAGTAACTTTGGAACACATGCGCGACACCTTATGAATAGAGTCTTATTTAATAATATACATGCGCACATGATATATATACTAATATATAGAGATTATTCAAACCAAAATACACGAATCCTATGTTGACTAAGGCTTCGTTTGTTTTACGGAAAACGAATGATTTGAAAAATATTTTCGTAAAAATGATTGCTTGAAATAAGTAGTCAATAAATAATGTTGTCATTATCGACAACAAATTTATGTTTAAATAATTTTCGGGACGATAAATATATTTTTCGTTTATTCGTTTTTATAAGCGATATAATCGGTCATTTTTTAAGAAAATATTTTCCAAATCGTTCATTTCTCGTAAAGTAAAGGGACCCCTTGGTATTATCTTGAATGATGCGGTTGATCAATCACAACGATGAGAGGCGATTACAGTATAATCACCACACCGAGATCATTTTTCGTTAAGTATGTTATTAATCATAAAATAATACAATTCAAGCTGTTTTATAGAGTATCTCGCCCCGTAATTATAAGAAGATATGATAGAATTAGCAGGTACATATGTGTTTAACATCTAGAGGCTTTCAAACCTAAAATACGCTGTGAGGTTCTTTTAAATTGTAATTACGGATAATTAATGCACGAGACATGTAATTACTTGTTTGGCAGGGGTCAAGGCATTAGGTGGGTCATTAGGAACCTTTAGGGTTGTAAATGCAAACGAAAAGTCAAACTCAATTCAAATCAATTGATAAAATAAATACGAAAAATTGGGTCGTTACAATTTACATCGAATTTTCATCTTTACTAATGCACCTTGCATTACCTAATTTCGACATGGTACGTAGTTTAGTCCCTAGTTTATGTAATTTGACTCACACATTCATTAGCAATGCCATTCTATATTGCTCTATGGAGTGGAGATTAAAAAAAGAAATTATCTCTGAAAAGCTTACACAAAGTATGGAATCCACTTTGTTGCGCTTTGATGAAATTTTGAAACTAAAATGAATCGACCAAATCGTGCCATGCAATTACGTCAATGCCACCCCGACCCTTAACCCTAATTCCACGTCTAGTTCTTTCTTTTTGTCACGGACTTACATGATAATGAATACGCGTTGCCATAATATATCACACTATTTTACGGTATTCATATCGTATCTTTCACCACCTATTAGGTTAAGTATTTCGATTGGATTTTCTAACATAATGTTAGAGTCAATTTCGCCGTAACTTATTTCGAGTGCATGACCCCCAATACGTCAAAATTCCACGTGTTTGTTTGTGACCCGACTTGCGTGCAAGATGAGAATTACCCCTCCCATCTACGAAGTTTATAGACCTGTTATATACATATCGTCTCTCAATTTTAGGAGGATAGTTTTTATTTATAATTTTTGTAATCCCCTCAAGGAAAAAAAAAGAGGAACTCAATAAAAAAAACACATCGTCACTCCACCCAACCCAACCCCAACCAGCTCCTGTGCAGAAGAGGATGAAACGTCCTAATCATCGGAGCTTTAATCCCCACGAAGCTTTTGCGTCACCCCGCCACTAAAATTGAACATAAGTTGGATTAGACAGCATGGGAAAACGTCACAACAACGATTTCCAACGCGGGCCCCCAGCAAAAATTATTGCGTCATCATTGATCGACACAACAACACACAGACACATATAATAATAATATACGGTGAAAAAATAGGCAATGATTTTTGATAATCACGATGGAAATCGATGGTTGTGTTACGGGATGAGGTTTCATCGTCAGTCCACCGCATCGATTGCGATTTCCGCCTTTCGATTGTAATAGGCTCAACGTCCAATCCAATCAACCCTATCTGTCTTTGTTTTGTTGTTGCGGATTCCCGATTTTACCCCTCCTCCCCCCCCCCCCCTTCCTCCCCCTCCCCTCGGGGGCGATTTTTGAAACTCTGTATTTTTACTGGTTGCGCCCGGCCCCGCCTCTGGTGCCTCGCGCTCCGCTCTCCGTGCGCCCCCGGTGCGCACTGCGCATCTCGGTGATGAGGCTGGCGCCAGTAGGAGCGCCGCACAACAAGAAACGAAAATTCCTCTTCGGGCAAAAATAAAAGAAACCGCCAAAAATCCGAATTCTTGTGACAAATTTATCTAAAAAAAATTTTTTTGACGCAAAAAACATCAAATAATATTTATTGCGACATATTTACCCTAAATTTTTTTTATATTTATAACGGCAAAAACTACAAGCTTGTACTCGTATGACACATTTGCACTCCATCAAAGTTTAGATGATTTTTGCAGCTGAAACGATGTCGTTCTTATTTCACTTAAGTCACGTGACGCACCATGTCAATATCGTTTACCTTTCGTTGTCTAGGTAAGTAAATTTTTAACGGTGCTCATTGACAGGATCTTGAAGGGGGTAAATGTGTCATATAGGTGCAAAAGCTAGCCAGAATCAATGGTAACATGTATCCAAACAATTTAACACGAATCGTGTAAGGTATCGGCTGTGGATTGTAGTGTCGTAATTTGAAGTTCCAACGAGTTAACTACACGTCTATACCGAACAATAATCAATCCAGACACTAAGCACAAGAATACATTTTAACTAATTGGTTCAAAGAAGATATCTAAACGCAACATTGAAACAATTATTACGATCCAAGCTTATCACAGCTGCATAAAATGAGTGGAGATCATTAACAAATCCTAAATTGAATAGTATTTCACATAAATCTCAACTGTAATTCTTAACCTATACCTTGTACGAAGAATGGAAAAAAAACAGAGCATTGAGTATTTACCTTGACAAGATGCGATTGTGGTCACTATCAGTTGTTGAACTGGTGATAAGAGGCAAGACCAAGAGAGGAAGGTGAGAGTCGAGTCTCGAAATGAGACCATGAGAGGGAGGCATTGAGTGAGAGGGACACGACTTAGGTGTGAGTGAGAGGCGTCGAGCTGTGATAGAGGCGTGATGCTGTGTGACTGAAAGAAGTGAGAGTGAGAAGCAAGAGCAACGAGCGTGACCGAGTCGCGAGAAAAGAATGTGAATTAAGGTTATTGAATAATAAGAATTAATATATCGGTCCTGTTTGGGTGGTTCAGTCCACGCTTGAAATAGGGAACCATATCGATATTCATCGATTCAAATTTTAGGAACTGGATATCGGACTGGTTCCCGTGGGAACTGTCCATAATTGGCCGGTTCGGTCCGGTTCTTTTACTCACCCTTACTAGATACAAGTTAAATGATTTTATCATTTTCAAGATATAGACAAAAATAAATGTATCCAAATGGCTTTTGAAGAGACAAAAAAATGGTTTGGAATGTTTTGCTTCTAAAGATTTAACTCCATCATGCAATATATATATTTTTTTCTGACCAAAAAAAGTAGCAATATTTTACGATTCTCAAAACCCGTAATTTATTTTCAACGGAACATTAAATTTTTTTCCGAATTGATAATATTGATCAATATAGGGTCGTGTGTATTCTCAAAGTATTTTTAATCTAGACCAAAAAGGCAATAAATAACTTTTCTCTATAAAAAGATCGAAACAGAATCAATGCTTTTATAAGAAGATCACTTCTTCTAAAGGAGGAAATTGCATTCAGCAGTAACCGAAATTTATTAATCTCACATTCACCCCAAAAAAATTAATTTCGCAGGGGATTTCGCCATTAAAGTTTCGTATCACGGAAGCATCGCACCACGTGCGTGGCGCGTGCGGCGAGCACCTCACGCGGTGGCGCAGTGCGCACGGGGGCGCAACGTAACGTCCCCAGCCCCCACGGCCCCACACTCATCAGCTCCTGGAGATTTTGAGACATAAATTTTGAACCCGAAAAAATAAAAAAGAAAAAAACGGAAAAACGAAAAACAAACAAACAAACAAACATTTTAGCACCTAAGTTCCCCTCCAAATTCTCGCTCCTCTCTGTCTCTTTTCCCCTCTCTCTCGAGCTCTAGCTCGGAGAGATCTTCGCGGCGTCGCTGCTCTCTCTCGCCCTCTCCCTCTCCCTCTCTCTCCGCCGTCCTCCGCCGCCCTACGGCGCCGCCCGTTCCGTCCGCAGTCCCGTCCGAAGCAACCACGCGCCGCCGCGGCAGGGCTGGAGATGGGGGGCGACCGGCGGATCCCGCGCCGATTCTGGAGTCGCCGGAGCGATTTCTAGGGTTTCCGGAGGCCGCCCCGCTCCGCGAGAATGCCCGCTCACAGGTCGAGGTCGGAGAAGCACGATGCGGCGGGGCAGATCCGGCGGGACCCTTACGAGGTCCTCGGCGTCGCCAAGAACTCCACGGATCAGGAAATCAAGAGCGCATACCGCAGGATGGCTCTCAAGTACGTTAATGGCCTTCTCTGCCGTGTTTTCCCTTCCCCTAACTCGTTCTTTGGATGCGTGTTGCTCCGGGGGGATTCGTGCGTATGTGTGGTTGGATTTGTCTTCCTTGTGACTGAATGAGTCACTGTTCGAGGGTTGGCGATCGACAACTATGCCTGCTTGTAGATGCCGACGAGCCGTTAGCGGCCTCTCATTGGTTTCTGGAACCAGTTCTATTAACATCTGTGATTATCAATTGCTAGAACTGGTCTAATTTGTATCGAACATAAGGTTTTTTATTTGAGTTGTGTGTGTAGCCAGTGGAGAAGAGTAGCCTTATGGCGATGCATATATACGATGTGCGGTGAATTCTAAGTGGGCAGATCTTGTCTAGTTCTAGAGTACGACGAGCTTGTGTCGAAAAGCCGAGTTTGATTTATAGTGGAAAGAGGTGAGCTTCGGGAAGATATAGTGAAGCTGCTGTGGAACATTTACCAGAGAGCATTCCGGGCTTTATTTCTTGATTACGGCGATTGGTCAGCAGTCATGCTTCACTCGTATGGTTTTAGTGTTAGCTTGGCTTGTTTTCTGTTTGTCCTGTAAATAGAAGAATGTGGAGGTGTGCTGTTCAGGTAGTTTATTTGATCTTGAAAAGGATGTACGGTGAGCTGAAGTTTGCTACGGTCTGTGTACCCGGATGAAGAATTTGAACAAAACTTAGTGCAGCTCTTTATCTTGTTTTTCTGGGTTTATACCTGATCAGAGCAACTTCACGATGATTGTCTGCTAAGGACTTGATGCTTTCATCTATGCATCAGACAGATATCCCGTGAGTCTAATAGCCTGACATTTAATCACATGATTATTTTCCATCCACTTGCTGAAAATTGGGTTCTAGCTAGAGCTCTGAGTTGTTTCACCTGGCTAATTTATATCTGGAGGTATTTTAGCCCACTACGGGAGATTGATTTGGTGAATTGACTCCTTGATTAAGCTACTTTGAAAGTGAAATGCTATTTTTTTTTTTTTGCAATCACAAGGAAATCCACGGTCTATCACAAGGAAATCCACCTTAGGTCGGTAGACCCTGAGTTCATGAGATGCCTATTAATATCATCAATTACATAAGGCGAGCCAAAGTTCGGTCGTTTGCATTTGGTGGTGTGGAGAATAAAACCCATTTTGTGTGCCTAATCCACACACACAAGTTTGTCGCTGTACCAATAAGCCCATCCCAGAGTGTTATGCTATTTGTTCATTTCGTGAAGAAAAGAAAAGACTGGTATCGTATTAAGGAGATGCCCATATTGATCAATGGACTCAAGCTTGTATGATCTCTGAAGCTTAATCAATCATCTTGAGCAGAATGTTCTCCATGCAATCGAGGTGGAAGTAAGTTATGATTATTTGTTCTCATGAAATTAATGAAGACACGAGAACTAGATTTGATGGACATAAAATAATCTCAGAATCTACATCTTGACGGTCCTTACAAACTTGGTTGATAATGGGCAATTGGTTGCTAGTGGCTAGAGTATTTTGTGTTGGGATATTGGCTAGCTATACGTGAACCATGTGGCGGCGGCGATCTGCTTCTTGAATTTAATGTCTCTGACATCCCATACTTTCTTATGTTGCTTGTTTCATAGGATATGGTTTTGACTAACTCTCTTGTAGTGTGAAAGCTTCTACTGTGGGAAATATATTTCTGATGGGAAGAGCATGCTAAAGAAGTTTCTGTTTCCTTTTCCATTTTGTCTCGAGATGATTCTTCAATATTTTCTCATTGTTGGAGATAGTGCTTAATATGAAATAGATGATTGCAATTTTAGGTATCATCCTGACAAGAATGCAAATGATCCTAAAGCTGCCGATATGTTTAAAGAGGTTACATTTTCATATAACATCCTGTCTGATCCTGACAAAAGGCGCCAATATGACACTGCTGGTTTTGAGGTGAGATAAGCTTACCAGAATTTCTCCTGATCTTTTGTGTTGTTTGATGCCGCTTGAGATATCGCTGTTGTGTTTGTAGGCTGTTGAATCAGAAAGTCAAGAGCTAGAATTAGATCTTTCAAGCTTGGGAGCTGTGAATACCATGTTTGCTGCATTGTTCAGGTAATGTTTTACCAAGTATATCACTGGATGATCCTCATCATTCATGAGCTATATGATGTAAAAATAAGTAATAGTTCTGATTATTATCTATGTTCGGGCTTTTAGTAAACTTGGTGTACCGATTAAGACAACTGTATCTGCAACTGTTCTGGAGGAAGCTCTCAATGGCATGGTCACCATTCGTCCACTTCTGCTTGGGAAGCCTATTTCTAAGAAAGTGAGGTGCTCTTTTAAATGTTTTATTTTGTATTTGCTGGTGTTATGATGCTCAAGTGTATGTTTTGTGAACAAACAGGTTGAAAAGCAATGTGCTCACTTCTATTCTGTCACAATAACAGAGGAGGAAGCCCAATCTGGATTTGTATGCCGAGTTCAATCATCCGACAAAAGCAAATTCAAGGTCCATTCACCTCACACTTTCCTAATAGAAGTACTTTTGTAGAGTTGCATATACCATGTGATTTTTTCCAAGTAGGCAATGAAAAGTTCACTAATACTGTAAAGAAGGCAATTGCTTGCATGTTATGGTCTTATTGCCAAAGTCTCTGTTTGTATGGTCTCTGAATACCCTTCATATCTTTTCTGCCAACCGTATGTTTTACCAAGGGAAGTAAATGCCAGACGTTAACACCCTGTAACGAGCTTAAAATTCTGGATAGCTGTGTAGCTATATGCTGAAGTTTTACTCATCAAATATAATATCCTATCGGGAATTATACTTGTCGTGTCAAATGAGTTAAGTATCCACATTTTCTTTGATCTGTCGAAATGTTAAAATGAATCGTGGGACCAATTAAATTACTGAACTTTCAAGCTTCTGATAGCTTATCTTTTTTTATTTACGTGTCCTATCAGTTGACATGTTAATGAACATAGAATCGCCTTCATTGTCCATGCAATTTCAAATATTTGCTCGACACTATCAGCATTTGGTTAACATGAAAGGGTCTGGATATTGACTATTTTAGTGTCTAATGTGTCTTAGCTAATTGGGTGACTTACCTGTTATCATTTGGTGGAAATATTTGTCCCATGCTGAATCTCTATAACTGCTTTTTTTCATCCACTACCTTCACTATGACTCTATATGAGGAGAGTACTTCTCAATCACCTAGAGTTTTGCCGTGTTATGCCTTTTTTTTTTTTATCTCTATAATTTTTGGTTTTCAGTAGTTATTTCTCATTTGATATTGGTGGACATTTTGCTTCAGTTGATATTGATAAAGAAAATCTAATGGATTGTACAGCTATTAACGAACTACCATCTTATCCTATTTGGTTGGTTTGTTGCAGTTGTTGTATTTCGATCAGGAAGGTAATGGTGGATTGAACCTCGCTCTACAGGTAACACCCTATTGTATTTTTCTCAAATAAACTTTTTTTGTTTTATAGCTTCATTAGTTGCTACTTTTTTGTGCAGAATTATGTTTAGGTGATCAAGTACTTTAAACCTTTGTCATTCTTGTGCAGGAGGATGGTGCGAAAACCGGAAAAACTACATCTGCTGGAATGTTTTTTCTTGGCTTTCCCGTTTATCGGTTGGATCAGACAGTCAATTCAGTGAGCTAATGATTTAAATAAAAAGAGCCCTAGTCAATCCCAATTTTAAATCTGCTTCACTGCTTAGGATTTTTATTTCGGATCGCTGTAGATGACTGCTGCCAAGGATCCAGACGCTGCCTTCTTCAAAAAGTTGGATGGATTTCAGCCATGTGAAATAACTGAACTGAAGGCTGGCACGCATGTATTTGCTGTTTATGGTTGGTGCTTATAATACTTTCTTTCGGCTTATTCTCCATTGAGTTTGCAGTAGGAAGGATTTCAGTGGCATCTGTAAGTTTTAGTTGATCTTCTTTTTAATTGCATTAGGTGACAACTTCTTCAAAAGTGCAAGCTACACAATTGAAGCTCTTTGTGCGGCACCTTTTATAGAAGAGAAGGAACACCTTAGAGCTGTGGAAGCTCAAATTTTGACAAAAAGGGCCGAGTTGTCGAAGTTTGAAACTGAATACAGAGAGGTTTTCATGTCAATTCAAGCAACCATCATTTTCTTCGGGATAATGTTGTTTCTTGATTCTCATGAAGGCTATTGACAGGTGCTGGCACAATTTACAGAGATGACTAGTAGATATGCACAAGAAATGCAAGCAGTGAGTGTCGATAGCAGAAGCTGAGCACTTAATAGTTGTCTTTCTTCGTTCACTTAATGTGCTCAATGACGTGCTTCAATTTTCTCGACTAATTGTCTATGTTATTTTGCAGATTGATGAGCTTCTAAAGCAGAGAAATGAAATTCACTCCTCTTACACAACTTGTCCACCCTTGAAGCGAAGTACAAGTAAAAGCAAGAGTAGAGGATCTTCTAAGGAGGCTAGAGAAGAAAGCCAAGTGAGAGAGAAGAAGTCCACAGCAAGGGAGAGGCCAAGGAAGAAGAAATGGTACAATATTCATCTAAAAGTTGAAAAGAGGAAGGCTTGTTAGAGGGTAAGAGTTATTAGTCGACGATTTTATTTACAATAGTATCGGCATTGCATAACCGCAGGAGATAATGAGCTCGACGGAGCTATATTTGCAATAATGGACGGACAACTTAAGTCTTCATATTGTTGTTTCAACAAAATGCTACCCGTTGGTTTATCCATGCAGGCTAAAAGACATATGCTTGTTGGCTGAGATGTCAATGATGCTGTGGAGGTTATGGTTCTGCGAAAATCTTTAGTTTACTGCTTAAAAGGCGACAGCAGCTCATTGTTATTGTAAAGTTCCTCCCCTTTTCCTTCATTCATTCCCTTGATCTCTTGTTATCAGTATTTGAGCTGGTAACACCTGTAAATCGCTTAACTTATTCATGAAGCTTCTTCACTTTGGACAAATAGATTCTCTTTGCGGACTCTGGGTGTCCCGGTGATGTGTTTGCATACATTTATCTTCCTGTCCTCTCGTTAATATTCTGGAAGATCCTCTTGCAATCTTGTCTCATGTTCTGAAACTGGATCACTGTTTTGTCTAAATCTCCCGGCGGCTATAGATGAAAACTGAATTTCAATCGCTGAAGTCTCAGAAACAGGCAATAGAAGTAAGGAACAGCTTGACTCGCTATTGAATGACGGGCGCTTTTAGATTCCCATGGAACGGTTGCTCGGAGGATCGGTAGCGGTCTGATAACAAAAGAATACATTTTAGTTGTTCATTCAAAAACTTTTCAAGCATTTGTACGTCGCCATAGAATACATTCATGCCACGTGTTCGGAATCGAAATCTGTTGTTTGAGGGATCATAGAAGGGCTTTGCCCAGTGTTAAGTATCAACTTTAGGTAAAGTGGATTAATCTATTTAATCAAAATTAAATTAATTTTGAAAACATATTATTTCAAAAATATTTCCTCAAACAAATGATTTAAATATAGCCAAGTGAGCTTTGCAATTTTTCTACTTGCACGTTTTGTGTCGGCGATTGTGCAGATATATTTCTTTCATTGCTGGTGTGCCTATATAAATGTAATATCTTTTGCCTGAACAATTCATTCTTGTTTGAAAATTAAACAATTAGTATTCCATTGTCAAACATCTAATCAATTATTATCATTAAACTTCATGATTTCTCCACGGACTTTTTTTGTGATAATTTATTTTGTAAATAAAAGAGAATACTAGAGAATATAAGTTTCAAAAGTATCTTGGGGTTTAAAATCGATCTAGTAAGCAAGAAGACTTGAACGTGATAAAAGAATACAATTACAAGGGTGTGCGTATATGCCTTTGGTATTGCAGCAGCAACCCAAAATAAAATTCAATAAGATCTTTGGCGTTGATGCTCTACAGTTGATACTTAACTTTAAAATTTTCCTAATACTAATTTTGCCACGATACAAGTAACCATGATTACGTTCACTCTACGTTATTATCAAAAAAGAAGAAGAGAGAAAATAAAAGAGTTGTTCGTGGATCAATTCATACACATAGCTTTTCAACTACTCTCTATCCAAATGGTGATCTAAGGTGGTCTCGATGGACCATCAGTTCAGTTTTTCTGAAGACTCATGCTGCCATGGCGAAAATAGCAATAACACTAGAAAGCTGTATTTAATCAAGGAAAAATGGAGGAAAAAGAGAGGCCAATTGAAAGCAGTCTATGATCGGGCAGCATCTGCGAGGATACCATCGCTCGTGTAATAGTAAAACATTGCCATTCATCTCATCAACATTGCTGTTTTGCTTTGCTTTTATGTCCTCATCATCACACGTAGTAAAATTACTTGTAGATCCATCGAACCTTTTGAGATTTCAAGTCTTGAGAGAGTTGAAAGCATCGCATCTGTGCCTCACCTCTCCCTTCCTCCCCGTCTTCACCTGATACACGCTCACTTTCTCGATGGCGTGAGTAAACGCCTGGAAGAACGCCGTCTGGTTCGCCGCGTACAGGTCCACGTACGGCTTCGTCCTCTTGTCCACTGCCATCGCTTGATCCGAGGCCAGCAGCCCCAGCCCTTTCTGGAGGTTCTGGTAGTACATGTTGTCGAACTTGTTCGGCGTCATCACGTCATTGAATGCCGACATCGTGGGATCCTTGGTGTAGTTCTCGCAGAGCTTCCTCAGTCCTTCCGCGTACTTGGGGTAGAGCGTGGGATCGTAGTCCGATTTCTTGCTGAAATTGAACAGCCTTTTGCTGAATTCCTTGCAGTGCGCGAAGCCGATCGTGTGCGCTCCGCTCAGAGCCACCATCTCTTGCGTGTTGAACCCTCGCGACTGGAAGATTTTGATGATTTGAGTCAGGGGCATCGTCGGCTTCGCCATGGCAGCCTCGGCTTCGGATGCTTTCGAAATGAAGCCGTCCTTTCGGCCCAAGCGGATGTTGTAGTAGGGGCCGCCGACCATGGTCACGAGGTCGCGGGCCGCGAGGGCGAGGATATCCGCGCATGAGACGACGCCGGGGCATTCGAGCTCGAGGGCGGTTTTGGCACGCGTGATGACGTCGAAACCGTCGCCGGGGAGGGAGAGGTTGATCTCGGCATCGCGCTCGGCAGTGTTGAACGCGTTGGAGGAGATGAGGATGGAGCCATCGCAACCATTTACCTGTTGGGATAATTCAGTTTCACCTTGTTTGATTAAACGAAGACAAAGTTTAATATCCATCGAATCCACGTACTATCAGGGCTCACTCCCAATCAAAGTGCGTGCCATTGATTCATCAATAACTTGCAGATCGAATCTCATATTATGTAGAAAGACATCCTTAATTTTGTCAAGATCACTTATTTCTATTTAGTGCAAATTTCCCGCAACAAATCAATAGTTGCATTTTTTGCATGTGCTATCAAGATTCTTTTCTCCATGTATCATTACGTTGGCAAAGCGTCGATCTATGTCCCCGATCAAGATGAATCTAAATTGGACCGGAAGACTCAGAACAACCTTAACATGTAGCCCGGCATGATACGAACACAATCGAATCGATACACAGTCATCAACATGATCTTGTAAATCAGTTTCGTATGCCTAAAAAATGGAGCGATGCTAACCCACAAACAAGACTACAAAAATTCAAGACAATAGAAGGTTCGCTAACTACAATCACCATGCAATCATGGAAGAAGAGGCGGAGGGTGGCGGCCGCGGTGGAGGAGGCGGCAATCTGCTTGTCGGTGACGACTTGTCGGATGATGTCCTGGAGACGGGGGCATGTCTTGCTGTAGTAGTCGAGCGTGAGCTTCGATTCCGAGGTTGCAATGTTGAAGAAAACAAGGAAGAAGAGGAGGTAAAAGGGCGTCATTTCTTTGCGCTTTGTCCCGAGAGAGAGAGAGAGAGAGAGAGAGAGAGAGAGAGAGGGAGAATGTAATATTTGGAGGTGGCGAATTAACGTAAAAAGGAAAACCTCTTCTTCTTTTTTTCTGTGGTTTGAAGAAAAATTAAAGAAAGAAAAAACTTGCATGGGGGTTGTTTGTACAGGCTGCATGCATTGTGGAAGAGAGTGATTGAAGGAGGGAGAGAGAGAAATAGAGATTTGTGGGTTCAATAGAGGTTAGTGAGGTTGGGGGGTTGTTTGTCTGTTGGAATTACTAAATAAAACATATGAGAGAGAGAGAGAGAGAGAGAGAGAGAGAGAGAGAGAGAGAGAGAGAGAGAGAGAGAGAGAGAGGATCCTCTCCATTATTAGACAATTTAAACTTGATTAAGAAGTGTTTTTCACCTTTTTTTTTGTTGTTGTCAATTTTACTCCTTTTTTCCCTTTTTTTAAACCCTTTTCTCCCTTCTTCCCCGTGACGCCGCGCCATTGCCACCCTTTATTGCGTCATTGCCTTCGCCGGTCCTCCAACTTACCACCGGAGGGGAGGGTTCCTCCGTTCCTCTCTCTCTCTCTCGACATTAGTTTTTGCCCTTGAACATGATCGGGTTATCAAGTGTCATCAATCCCCATCATGACCTAATCGTGGTCGCTGATGGAGGAGCATTGGAGGTCCACGACCTCGAATTAAAGGTCGCGAGCCTCTACTCGTCTCAGATGCAATAGTTTTACGTCGGAGAATTAACTGATAAGGAAAAGAGAATTAGGGTTTCTGGAACTTTGTGATTATTTTCACAAAACATAGGACTATTTTCGTTATTTTGAAATAGCTGGATATAGTCTTACCTGTTTAACTACAGAGGAATCTCATTCTAAGAGGAAGCATCAATGTTAGGTGAATGAGACTCATCCAAAGTAAAGGTGAAAGAGGTTCCTTATTCTATTCTCCCTCAATTATTAACTTGCACGATGTCAGGGTTCTGTGTGGAAATTGGGAAGGGGACAATTTGATAGATGAGGATTGAAAATGGGTACGAGATTTTCAAATTCGCCTTCCGTATCCTTTCCACAAAAAGAAAAATGTAACACTTGCCTTGAAGGGCAAATAGCATTTCTTCAAGCAAACCCTCTTCGACTTTCAAGCGCATTCATCTTCTTTTTGTCCTGGTTCTGATGTGGAATGAACGAGAAAACCATTTTTTCCATTTCGAAAGGCTATAACACAACATAGTATGTTTGGCAGTTGACACATTACAAAAGTGTGTGGACCCTTTTTATCGCATGTTGTTCAGCCCTTAGAACAAAAACGTGGGGTCCAACTGGCCTAAGATCAAGTGAATCTCGTGCGAGATTTGATTGGTACTATATGATTTAGACATTGCTAGTGATTGCACATTTCGTCGAGATGCATAAAAGTTTGGTTCATTCATGCAAATTGAAGGGTTGAGATCGAAGATTTTGTTGGCTCAAACGTGGGGTGCAACTGGCCTAAGATCAAGTGAATCTCGTGCGAGATTTGATTGGTACTATATGATTTAGACATTGCCAGTGATTGCACATTTCGTCGAGATGCATAAAAGTTTGGTTAATTGAAGGGTTGAGATCGAAGATTTTGTTGGCTCACATGAGCTGAGCCGACGTAGTATGAGATTGGCTAAAATCATATGCTAGAGTTGTTATGTGGAGCTATCAAAATTGATGTACAATATGAAGTCACAAAATTCCATTAAAATTGAGCATATGTTTAGATAGGCTAAATAAGTGCATTCGAATTTCGATATACAAAATCTAATTAATACATCATTTTGTTGATTAATTTTGCATATCAATCTTAATGGGGAAAATTGTGTAAAAAGTCTTGAACCTATTTTACAGCTTTTAATTCAGTTCTAAACCTTTCAATCATGCAAATTCAGTTCTAAACATTTTGATGATTTGCTAATATAGTCATATACTTTTTAATTATGCCAATTTAGTCCTAAACCTTTTGACGATTTACCAATTTGGTCTTTCATGTTAATTTTGGCAGGAAATGGCTGACATGGCGATTTAGTCAGCGTCAACCGTTCTGCATGGCACGGCCAATGCTGTCGTGGACAATTTTTTAAATTTTTTTTAAAATTTTATGAATTTTTTTCTTGTTTTCTTTTCTTTTTTCTTTTGTCCCTTTTTCTTAGGCGAGGGCTGCCCTCGCCACATCCGGTGATGGATTTGGCGAGGGTTGGCCTCAGGCCGTCGTTGGCCATCGATGAGGCTCGATGATGTCCGATGGAGGGAAAAGGGAAAAAAAGAAAAGGAAAAGAAAAAAAGAAAAAGAAACGAAAAGAAAAGAATGGAAAGGAAAAATATTAGAAAATTTAAAAAAATTATCTACGTTAACGCTAGCCGTATCACATAGGATGGTCGACACTGACTAGATCGTTACGTCAGCGATTTCCGGCCAAATTTGGTCAGAATGACTAAATTGACAAACCGTCAAAAAGTTTATAATTAAATTAGCACAATTGAAAAGTTCAAAACTAAATTGGCCCGTCGTACAATAAATTTAGGGTTAATACCACGAAAAATCCCAAACTGGTACACGTGTGACAAATTTACCAAAAACAATTTTTTTGACCATAAAAAACCCCAAACTGGTACACCCGTGACAATTTTACCCCGAACTATTTTTTTGACCATAAAAAACCCCAAACTGGTACACTTGCGATAATTTTACCCAAAATTAATTTTTTAATATAATTTTTTATTTTTTCGAATTTTTTTATTTTTTTTATTTTCTTTTATTTTTACTTTCCTTTTTTTTTTCCTTCATCTTCAACCTTTGGCGGGTTGCCGGTCCGGCGAGGTCGGCGCCGGCGGCCGCTGGCGAGGTCGACCTCGCCGACAATTAGTGAGGTCGGCCTTGCCCGCCCTTGGCAAGGGGTTGTCCTTGCCGTCCCTAGTGAGGCTCGGCCCACCGGCAACAGTTGAGGTCAGCCGAGGCTCAACCTCGCCGCTTCTGGGTGAGGCCGACCTCGCCAGTTGCCGGTGAGTTCAAGCCTTGCCAGATCTGGCGAGGGGTCGAAAAAATAGTTTGGAATAAATTTATCATAAATATATCAGTTTATGATTTTTCGTGATATTAACTCATAAATTTAAGCCGTTTTGGATAATTTTTCCAATCTTTATTTTTACTGGGCCCCGGCCATATTCAGTAATGCATCCGTCTTGTTGGTGAAGTTAGGTGGTAATAGGATGCTACGGTGGTCCAACAACGACAACATGTTTGTTGCATTTTTGTGGCTAAGCTAAGTCCCCTTCAATGGCAGTCTAGTCTAGGTTTGTGTCGGAAAAGATTCTGTACATCTTTCAAGAAAAACCGCCAGAGTCCTTTCGAAACTTCATTTTCGTAATTCTCAATTTTCGCCGGCTCGTATTGAAGTTCATTTAAAACCTCTCATCCTTATTGACATAACATATCTCGTATTGAATTTGAATTTCTTTTTGTGAATTTCTCAATTCGAGCCGAGTTGGATTAGGGGGTAGTGTCTGACCGTGGCCGACTCCAACAGTATCGAGCGCGAAACTCTTTATGCCCCCGGTACTCCGAGTGACGTGGATGAACTATGGCAACTTGATTCATCATAAAGTTCGAGCGCGACCCCAACGCCGAGCACATTGAATCGTGATGGTTACATATGCAACCGAAAGGGAAGAGCATTCCCATTACCAAGTAAAGTCACAATTAAGAGGGGGCAAAATGAAATAAATAAAAAAAGCCAAATTTGCAAATATGTCACATCGAAGACTTTTCAATTTGTACCCGTAGGGACCTTATAGCAAAGAGTCCTATATCTTTTTGTTAACTTCCTGGAAAATCGGGGCACTAAAGTTTGTACTCGAGAACATCGTTACGTCCTGCGGATATCATCAATGAATGAAGAAACAACATCTGGCGCATCATATTCACGTGCATATACATATATATATATATATGTGGTACCCTAAAGTTTTTGGTACTTATTTGGAAATTGCCTTGAGATGCCTACACAAGCTAATGAAATAATGGAGGAGAAACTATAAAAAAAGTCCTAAATTTATTGCGTTAGTGCCAATTCAGTTTTAAACCATTCAATTTGGCCAATTTAGTTATATACCTTTTGATAATGTACCAATATAGTCTATCCGATCAATTTTATCTGAAAATTGATGACGCAGAAGCTGGCCGTTGTACGTGGTGCGGTCACGTTGACGCGAATTTTTTTTGAATTATTTTATTAATTTTTTCGAATTCTTTTCTTTTCTTTTCTTTCTTTTATTGTTAAGGGCCTGTGGGGGCTGCCAGCCACTGAGTGAGGGCTCGTGGCCCTTGCTAGCCACTTGCGAGAGTAGTGAGCCCTCACCTAGTGGCTGGAGAAGGCTCTTGATGAGGGGCACGGCCCTCGCTTGAATCTAGGCGAGGGTTGCGAGCCCTCCCCCAGTGGCTGAGGCCCGGCGGCCCCCTCAAGCCCTTAACAATAACAAAAGAAAATGAAAAAAACGAAAAAAATTCAAAAAAAACGTTAGCGTTGGTCATGTTATGCACAACGGTCGGCTTCCATGTTATCAATTTCTGATCAAAATTGGCTGAATGGACTGCATTGGCAAACTATCAAAAGGTTTATGACTAAATTTGTCAAATTAAAAGGTTTAGGACTGAATTGGTACAAGCGCACTATAATTACCACTTTTTTGGTAATTTTCCACATTCCAATTTCTTTTGATTAACTTCCTGGAAAAATCGTGGCACCCTATACTCGAGAACATCGTTACGTCTTGCGGATATCATCAATGAATGAAGAAACCACATATGGCGCATCATCTTCACGTGCATATATGTATGTGGTGCCCTAAAGTTTTTGGTACTTAGTCGGAAAATGCCTTGAGATGCTACCTAAGCTAATGAAATAATGGTTCGGTCTCGTCTCGTTGTTTCATTCTCGTCCATTCATTAAATTGCACGCGTGACTGATTGTTGGTGGGATGGCGTTTCTAAGTCCCTTGATAAAGGTGATTTGTCAATATCCATCCACGCCATTACTCTAATTTCAAAAAAATTAGAATTAATATTACAAAAAATTGTAAACTGATACACTTATGATAAATTTACTCAAAATTAATTTTTTAACCATAAAAAATTCAAAACTGGTACATTTGTGACGAATTTGCCATCTATTAAATTAGACTAATATCACGAAAAATCACGAACTTGTACACGTGTGGCAAACGGAGGGTAAAACTCCAAACAACTGCCACGTGTCATCTAACTAAGAAATTTGAGAGTATAATTTAACGGAAACTAACGAAGGGTAAAATTGTCACAAGCGTACCGATTTGAAGCTTTTCGTGGTCAAAAAATTAGTTTAAGGTAAATTTGTCACAAGTGTACCAGTTTAGATTTTTTCGCGGTATTAACCCAAAAGTTTATAGCAATTTATATGTGAATTTATGTGTACATGTACATATATTATGAGAAGTTTCGAGTGTTTTAAGTTTGAAAAATAAAAGGTCAATGTGCGTGCGCCGCACGAACTGCAGAAAGTAAAAAAATCAAAAGGAAAAGCTCACTCCAAACAAACAAACTATGATGATTTGTTGAACATTAAATAATATAGATATTTCCACATTCGATAGCGTTGGTATAATCGTCTTTTCTATACTTGTCCCTAAAATAAGCGTGAGCTTTCTTTTTATTTATTTATTTTAATCTAGAAACACGAATGCAGAGACCCGATTATCCGAAAGTACGAGCAATGCTTAAAAAAAATTGTTTTTGACTTCTTAATCCACTGTGCCAACCCTCTAGGTACGCCGAGGACCACGCCATCTCTTCACTCAGCGAATCGAGGAGGAGGAGATGTCGGGCGATAACATTTATCGAAGGGAAGCTAGTAACGTAGCATTTGAGCCTAGTCATTAATTGAATGCATGAAGGGCTCTCAAAAGCACCTAAACATCTCACCATCCTCGCCCTCAATTCTCACAGAGTGCATTAATAAGTCATGCTCAGGGAAAACTATCCAAAAAGTCTTAAACTTATCTTACGGTGGTCAGTTCAATCCGAAACCTTTTAATTACGGTAATTTAGTCCTAAATTTTTTAACAACTTGTCAATTTAATCATAAACTTCTCAATTGTGCCAATTGAGTCCTAAACCTTTTGAACGATTTGTTAATATAATCCTTTCGACCAATTATCCAGAACTAAATTGACATAACTGAAAGGTTTAAGTTTAAATTGGCCACTGTATAATAGGTTCAAGACTTTTCGGATAGTTATCTCGTCGGGCTTTCCATTTTCTTTTCACGCACGCTATTTCTTAATATCTTCTGATTGCGGAATTCACACTTATTTTCGCGCGTGCGCAAGCGTGTGTGTATAGGGCACGATTCCTGGATATTACTCTAGTGGTTTGAAGCTACGAAACAAGATACTACTTCATGCTAAGCACAACGCTTGACAAGGGATATATCTATGCAGCAAGAGTTATCCACGATTTGGCTTAAGATGGAGGGATGAAAAGTCACCGCACGATACGAAGTCAATTTCTACTTCCACGCCACCGACCCGGCCAAGATGAAGCAGAAGAAGATGTCTCGAAACGACCGCCGAGGAAAAGTTCGACGAGAAGCAGGAAACACCACGGCGTTGGGTATTCCAGCACGTGGTCCACGCCATAAATGTGCAATCCCGGCGTGCCCATTCTGTCAAAACACGTGACTATATATGTATGTTATATGTTGGAACTTGTGCTTTTCCTCATGACAGCGTAGCCACGCCCCGAAATGGTAAAAAGCACTCTTAGCTGAATTTGGAAGGGTCTCCGGATTCTACGCAATCACAATGGGCGGCCGTGCGAGATTCAATGTGGAGACCATGTAATCGACGGCTTCTATGGACCCGGTTCAGATAAATATCAGTTTAACCTAGGACCGGCGTTCCTCAAATAGGTTCCTACCTCAACCATGTTCTAAACTGGTTTAAAGGGACGTGTATCGAGATCCGAAAACTTCGATTTTGGTTTCTAGAAACAAATAGGGAAGGGAATGCGGGAGATCAAACGATAATTCGACATTTGTTTTTATGAGAAGAAAATAGAGAAACGATTTCGGAACCCTTTTCATCATCGTCTGACTCTGGACAAAGAATTAAACTTGGCGACGTAAGTGGAGAGAAACTTTTTACTCATGGAAAAGAAAATACCGCAAAATCATTTCACATGTCGAAAAGGAGTCGCTAACCCGTGGCGCCCGATTTATGATATTGTTCACTTAAAAAAACGTGGGTCCACGAGAAAACCGAGAAAAGAGAATTGACGTTTTCTTTATTGATCGGAGTGCCTCACCACGTCGTTTTTACGTAACATATGACGCGATGGTCGGAAGTGCACTGTCAGTTTGCAATTTTATAAGTATGGGAAGGACGCATTGAAGCGAGCACGCTCCACACAAAACTTCGTCTTCTGCAGCTCATGGAGATTCCTCAGCTCCTCATCGTCCTCCCACTCCTCTCCTTCTTCCTCTTGTGCCGTCGCTTGGACCTTCAAGCCTCAGCTCATGAAAAGCAGCTCTTCACGTCGCTCAACTCTTCTTCTTCTTCTTCTGCTTCTTCTTCCTCTTCTTCCGAGTCTTCGTTGAGAGAATATGTGGTTAGGAGGGCTAAGGATGCGAGCCTGGCGGATTGGATGAAGAAGATAAGGAGGGAGATCCACGAGAACCCCGAGCTCGCTCACGAGGAGTTCGAGACGAGCGCGCTCGTCAGGCGCGAGCTCGACCGGCTGGGCATCACGTACCGGTGGCCCGTGGCCGGGACGGGGGTCGTGGCCACGGTCGGCTCGGGGTCGCCGCCGTTCGTCGCCCTCAGGGCCGACATGGACGCTTTGCCTATTCAGGTACGTGATTTGGTCGGGTGTCATCAGCGTTTGCCAAACGAGCACTTTCCCGTGTCTTGTTTTCGAGAAATAAAAAACAAGAGATGTTAGCATCAATGAGCGATGCCTCTTGATCGACTGATACAGCAACCGACCATATATAGTTGAAGAAAGGAAATTGATGATGAACTTTGCAGAGTTCAGACGTCAATGAATGAGCAAGAAGAAAGAATCCCATCACTTATCACCAAACCTTTTCACGAGAAAACTAATCAAGCCTGACAACTGAATCAAACCCAAAACCCAACACTTTACAAGAACATGACAGGCTCCTTTTCTTTTCTTGGAGCATTGGTGAGCCACAACTTTTTCTGTTTCCGTCCGCCATTTGGCAGGACTCAAGCAAAGATCAGTGGCAGTTCGCGTAATAGACATCGTCATTTCGATTAACTGTTCCTCTTGTCGACACAAGAAAGCACCGTAGGCAACGGATATGTCACGCGTTGTTGGCAATGTGTTCTTAGAACCACAACTTGCTAAGCTTTGCGTACATCAATTACAGATTGAGGATGAGCAAAAACTTCGTGATTCTAATTCGGGCGTGGGGAAATTGATTGATGAATGGCTCATTGGTTAGAGAGAGCTAGATGTATTGTCTGGTCACGATTAGAACAACTCCGAATTTTTGCCATCTGTTTTCACTCAAAATACATGATGAAATTTGTTTATATTCATCAGGAGTTGGTGGAGTGGGAGCACAAGAGCAAGGTAGATGGGAAAATGCACGCTTGTGGCCATGATGCTCATGTCGCCATGCTCCTTGGAGCTGCCAAGATATTGCAAGAAGTCCGAGACCATTTGCAGGTCATTTCAGGATCGTAATCATCGACATGATAATGTCGAATTCTCAGATCGATCGATCGTATACTTTTTACTAAATTGGTTTGCTAAGTGATGTGGAGGGAGTTTTATTGAATGTCTAGTATGGGTCACCTGTTTAGAAACGTAAAATCAATTCCAGACCGGCCTTACTGTTATCAAGCAGCGGTCACATATAATTTTCTCGTGCTCACGGGATGTCTACGAAATTCACAGGGAACGGTGGTTCTTATTTTCCAGCCGGCCGAAGAGAGCGGCCGAGGCGCAAAGGATATGATCCGAGATGGTGCCCTCGAGAACGTGGAAGCAATCTTCGGCTTGCACTTGGTCCACAAGTACCCAATCGGGGTCGTCGCGTCCCGGCCCGGGGAATTCCTAGCAGGGTGCGGCAGCTTCGAGGCTAGGATCAAGGGGAAAGGGGGTCACGCGGCGATCCCGCATCTCTCGATCGACCCGATTTTGGCTGCTTCGGCCGCGGTGGTCAGCTTGCAGAACATTGTTTCCAGGGAGGTGGACCCTTTGGAATCTCAGGTACTTCACTTGCTACATGTCAATGGGATCGAAGATTGAACCGATAGAGCTAGTTCGATGAAATTCTGGCAACAGTGCATGCATTTGAATTGCACGATTCATTTTGTTCACAGAGCAATTCATGCAGGTAGTTTCGGTAGCAATGATACAAGGCGGGACTGCATTCAACGTGATCCCCGACGCGGCCACGATCGGCGGGACTTTCCGAGCTTTCAGCAGGAAGAGCTTCTATGGTTTAGGGGAGAGAATAGAAGAGGTAATTTATATGAACTTCTTGTGCTATGTATACTAGGAGGATGCACAGTTGCCAAGTCCTGAGAAACTTTGGGGCTCATATGAATGAATTATGGGGAGAATACAAAAAAAAGTTTTAAACCTATTGCACTTGTGTTAATTCGGTCATAAACCTTTTAATTGTGCTAATTAAGTCCTAAATATTTTCACGTTTTGTCAATTGAGTCCATTCGTCCAATTTTATTCGGAAATCACTGACTTGGATGCCAGTAGTGCTACTTAAGACAATCGGCATTAACATGAACAAATTTTATGAAAGAAATAATATTTTATTTATAATGTTATATTCTTTTCTTTTTCTTTCTAGCAAGTTCGGCGAGGGCCGACCGTCGACCCTCGCCATTCACAAACGAAGGCCGGCCGACCTTCACCGACCATAGGTGAGGGTTGGTCGACCCTTGTTGGCAAGGGTTAGCCGGCCCTCGCTTGTGACCGGCGAAGGTTGGCCAGCGAGGCCAGCGACCCTCGCTGGGCGGGAAGAAAACGAAGAAAGAAAAAAGAAGAAAAAAAAATAAAAAAAATCAGAAATTCTCCATTCTAGCTTTGATCGTGCCATGCAGGATAGCCAGTGTCTACGTCAATGATTTTTGGCTAAAATTGACCGGAAAAATTTGAAAATATTTATAATTTAATTGACACAATCGAAAGGTTTAGGATTGAATTAACACGGGTGTAATATATGTTTAGGACTTTTTTGGTAATTTCTCCCATGATTTAACATATGTTTGGCCAAAAGACGGACACAACAGAAAAGTTAGATGAGTCCAGGTTTCAATGGAATCAAAAGAGAGAACCTAACGCGGAATGATCCCGTTTTCTTCTATTGTATGCCGAGAAAATCAGCCATTCTTATGCTACTGCTTTCTCTTCACAATGCCAGGTGATAAAAGCGCAGGCGGCGGTACACCGCTGCTCCGCGGAGGTCGACCTGGAGGGGAACGATCAACCCTCTGTCCCTCCGACCGTGAACGACGAGAGGATCTACAATCACGTCCACCGCGTCTCGACCGAGATCGTCGGGGAAGACAACACGGTGCTGTCTCCGAGCTTCACGGGGAGCGAGGATTTTGCCTTCTATCTGAACGAGGTCCCGGGGTCCTTCCTCTTCCTAGGCATCAGGAATGAGAAGATCGGGTCCGTCCACCCTCCGCACAGCCCTTATTACACCATCGACGAGGACGTGCTCTTGATCGGGGCCGCGATACATGCCACGTTTGCTCTTTCGTATATCTCCGATTCGACAAGAGCAGCCAATGTAGTCCGCTAAATTAGCGTTGTCAATACATAAAACTTACTTATGTTCGTTCATATGTTTGTTCCTTGCAAGTTTGATGGAAATTTCTTTCAGGAATGTTGTTCTTTATATAGACAGATATGCTCACATCGCTTGTTAACACCAGCATTTCAATCAGCTCTCTGTAAGGAAAAGTGAGAATAGGAGTTCAGTTTTGCTTGTCAAACATGTTTCACCCAAGTTCAAATGAAGATCAGATCAACTCCAGAAAAGAACCAAATTCGGTTGGCGACCATCGCGAACATGCACAATATACCACCAATGCAGGAAAAGAAATAACAAAAGCATCGCTGCCGGTAATCGTTGCGACATGGAAACACATGATACAATCCAAACCGGCATCGGAAATCCCTTCTCCGTTAGATCCTCTTCCCGTGTACTAAGAGACAGACGACGGCGGCGAGCAACGCGGCCGCCATGGACGGGAGAGTGGAGGCGCTCGCCCTGCCGTGGTTGTGGTCTGATGGGGAAGGAGCCATGTCCATGCCCGGAGGCATGACCATGCCCAGGGTCATATCGTGCGGACCATCATGAGCATTGGCAACCGCCAACGCCAAAGCCAACAAGCAGACGGCCAAGGCCGCCGCCGCCATCTTCGCCATCGCCACCTTAGCCATGATCTCTCTCTCTCTCTCTTTCTCCGACCATTCTACTGATGTAGAACGAATGAAAAGCTGCTATATATACTCGAGTCAAGGCAGGCGGGGGGGCGAGATAGAACATACGAACGTTCAGGAGAAAGTACAAAGAGATTGCGCATCGAGGGAGGGACGGCATGAAGTTGGCCTTGAGTTGAGTTGTTCCTGGATATAGCAATGTGATCAGGTGAAATTGACTTTCTAGTTATCAAAATTATAAAATTGCTTTCTTATATGGTGAGACTTGAGATGATGATGAAGGTTTTTTCTTTTATATGTCAAGAGGTGATGTGCCATGGCAAATGAGATACTTTGATGACTGACTACTCATATGCTTAATCAATAATGGCATGTAGATATGCCATAGTATACGTTGACATTTTGCAATAAACGTGTTTTATCTTTCTCGTTCAATTCGACGGTTGGATTGACTTATCGGATTTTCACTTTCTTTTTTGGGACAACTCTATGGATACGACCCGTCAATTTTGATAATCACTCGAAAGTACATTGAGTTTGGAGATTGTCGCGCCTAATGAGGATTACTTGGTCGGGTGAGTGAAAATTCCCGGTAATTGTCTAGAAACAAAGTCGGTTAATTGTCAAATTGATCGAGAAAGCCGCGTACATAATATGGTGATTTTCCATATCTCTTACGATTAGGAGGCCCATCACATTTAAAACTTATCTTGCAAAGCCAGATGTTTAAGATAATTAGGAGATTTTCCATATCTCTTACGATTGTGCATATAGCTTTCTTGATTATGCATATCCTCGATTCATCCTAATTAATTGTAATTGATATCGTCATATCTTGTTACCTTTTTCTTTGTCATAATATCTTGTTACCTTAAACTGTCGTCTTGTCGAGCCTATAAATACCATTATTCATTATGAAACACACAAAAATCGTGCAATTCTCTTCCGCACATTGTATGCCTCGGAAATTTTGAAATATGAAATTCCCCAATCTACTTAACCAAGAAATACAAGCTTATTAAGAGTTGATGATGCACTTAGAGAAAAGGAGGCCCATCATATTGTTATAGTAAATCTACCCACAAAGTTTAAGATGGTGTTGAAAAGTAATATCAGGGCAAATCATCTTATCAGTCCTGCTTTTTATTGGGCCTTTGCTAAGGCCCAATTGTTAGAAATATTAAAATTGTTTTTGTCTTTATCAAACTTGGTCCTCAAGGTTGTAGATCAAACTTGGTCTTCAAGTTTAACAAGTCAAACTTGGTCTTCAAGAAAACTTCACCACCTTAGGAGTATAAATAGGTTGTCTCCTCCCCATTTGTGTTAGTGTGTGAAAAGCCATAGAAAGAGAGAGTTGAGAATTGTGATAGCTAAGTTTGTAGAGCTAAGCTTGTATTTCTATGTGTAAAGCCTAGAAAAAAGGCATTTGGAATATTATTCTCTCTCGTTTGTGTATTTGTGTGCTCCTTACCAAATCTTCAAAGTTTGTCTATATCCTTTTGGTTCCTACAATTGGTATCAAAGCTAGCAATGACATCCACCGGTTCCGTTCAATTATAACTTCCAAAGTTGAACGGAAATAATTTCAACAATTGGTCCGTCCAGATGAAGGTTCTCTTCAAATTGCAGGATTTGTGGAATCTAGTGGAAAATGGCTACACTGAAGTAGCCGATGCTAAAGAATTTGAGGCTTTAAGAAAGGAGGAGAAAGACTCTTTGGTGGAGTTTCGGAAGAAAGATCAGAAAGCATTATATGTGATCTTTGAAGCTGTGGATGAAACGATATTTGAAAAAATATCGAGCGGAGACCGCAAAAGAAGCATGAGATATTTTGCAAAATCCTACAAAGGCGATGATCGTGTCAGGTGGGTGCGGCTCCAAACACTTCGAGGAGATATCGAGTCTTTACGCATGAATGACTCTGAATCTATCTCGTCGTACTTTGATCGTGTGCAAATCATTATTAACCAACTGAAGGTTAATGGTGAAGAACTTCAAGATGTTCGGATTGTAGAAAAAATCTTAAGGTCTTTGACTGAGAGATTTGACTACGTTGTTGCAACGATTGAAGAAAGCCAAGATATATCAACCATGACGTTGGAGCACTTGATGGGTTCATTGTGCTCGCATGAGCAAAGAATGAATCAAAAGTCCATCGGTATAGTCGGTTCTTTCCATCAAGTCAATGAGGCTATCAAGGCAATCAAGGTCGCGGAGGAGGCCGAGGTAGAGATGGAAATCCAAATTTCACCGGAAAATTTAAACCACATGACAAATCAAAAGTCAAGTGTTTTAAATGCAATAAATTCGGACATTACAAATCCAAATGCCAGGCAAAGGTGACGTATGAACATGTGGAACATGCACATGCCATTGGTGCTAAAAGAACACATGCTACTAGCGTGTAAGAAGGATGACTTGAGTATCGAAGACACCAACATGTGGTACCTAGATACTGGTTGCAGCAATCATATGACTGGCCGGAAGGAGTTGTTCTCGCAGCTGGACGAGACAAGTCGAGGTGAAATCAACTTCGGGGATAAATCAAAAGTTCCCTTGATAGGCAAAGGTAACATAAATATCAAGTCAAAAGATGGTACTAATGTTACTATTGCAGACGTTTACTTTGTGCCAGGACTTTTTTGGAATTTGCTAAGTGTTGGGCAACTTTCCGAAAAAGGCTACAAGGTTCATATTGAAAATGGAGTTTGCACCATCAAAAGTGTCAACGACAAGTTGATCACGAAGGTGCAAATGACAAAGAACCGGATGTTTCCCCTGACTCTTTAGACGATGATCTCTTGAGTCTTCAAGCGATGATGAAAGATAGCAATTGGTTGTAGCATCTTCGATTCAGGCACCTAAATTTTCGTGAACTAAAATTACTTGTCCAAAAAAAGATGATGATCGGCATGCCTTATATTGACTGTTCGGATCGTCCATGCGAAGAATATCTTGTTAGAAAACAACATCGAGAAACTTTTCCAGTTGGAAAAGCCAGAAGAGCAAAACAACTATTGGAGTTAATACATACTGACATATGTGACCTTCTTGAGGTTGAATCATTTGGACAAAAAAGGTACATGTTAATTTTTGTGGATGATTTTACCAGAAAAACTTGGATATATTTCTTGAGAGAAAAATCTGAAGCTTTTGGTAAGTTTAAAGAATTTAAAGTCTATGTTGAAAAACATAGTGTCTTTAATCTGAAGACATTGAGATCAGATAGAGGTGGAGAATTTACCTCAAATGAATTTGGCAAATATTGTAAAATTCATGGAGTGAAACGTCAGTTAACTGCTAGCTATACTCCTCAGTAAAATGGTAAAGCAGAAAGAAAGACTATAACGATTTTTGAAATGGCAAAGAGTATGCTAAAGGCTAAAGATTTACCAAAGAAGTTTTGGGCAGAAGCCGTTGCTTGTGCTGTATTTGTGCTAAACAGGTGTCCAACAAGGAGTGTTCTTGAAAGAACCCCAGAAGAGGCTTGGAGCGACAACAAGCCAAATGTTTCGTTCCTACGAGTATTTGGGTGTTTGGCATAACCCCATATACTAGACGAACGGAGGAAGAAGTTGGATGACAAAAGCGAGAAGTGCATCTTCATTAGCTATAGTGACACAACTAAAGGTTATAAGCTGTATAACCCAGTCACTGAAAAGAAAATCATCTATAGGGATGTCCAGTTTTTAGAAGATGAAGCTTAGGACTGGAACCAAAAAGGTGACCAGAAAAACATTTCCATCGAAGATGAACCATTGGAGGGAGATACAGAAAAACCTCCATCATCTTCGACCAGTGGTGCATCTTCTTCATCATCTTCGACTGGTGGTGCATTTTCTTCCCCAACAGCAGTTTCAGAACCACCTTTACGTCGTTCACAGTGATTGCGAGAGACTCCAGCAAAATTCAGGGATTATGTGGTCACAAGGAACGATAACAGTGATAGTGATGAAATCATTGATGAAACTATGATAAACTTTTGTTATTTGTTGAATGTAACCCTATATCCTATGATAAAGCCGCTGTAGATGAAAGGTGGATCCAAGTAATGGATGAAGAAATCCACTCCATTGAAAAGAATGACACATGGGTGCTAACTTCTTTATCATCTGGTAAGAAGCCCATTGGTATTAAGTGGGTGTACAAGACAAAGTACAAATCCGACAGTCAGGTGGATCGTTACAAAGCCAGACTGGGCCAAAGATTGATTATTTTGAAGTATTTGCACCAGTAGCTCGAATGGATACCATTCGGATAGTCTTAGCACTCGCAGCTCATAACCATTGGAAGATCCATCAAATGAATGTGAAATCAGCATTTCTAAATGGGAAAATTTCAAATCAGTACCCAAAGTGGGGTCATTTTCTAAAAAAGGGGTCCAAAGTGAACATAGTGTCAAATAAGGGCCTGAAGTGCCCAATCAGTCTCAAATAGGGGCCCGAAGTGCTCAATTAGTCTCAAGTAAGAGCTTGAGTTCGCCGGGCGGTCAAATGCTCACCGGCCGACGAGCACGTCACTGTTCTGGCGATTGGAACAAGAGCAATTTCGTCTTTTACTCTCTTTTTTTCTCTTTTCCTTTTCCTTTTCTTCTTCTTCTTTTTTTCCTCTTTTCCCTCCGCCGGCCATAGCCGGGGCCGGCGGAGGTTGCCGGCCTCAGGCGAAGGCCGCCCTCGCCGGCGTCGGGCGAGGGCCGACCTTGGGTCACCCTCGCCGGCGTCGAGCGAGGGTCGCCCTCGCCGGCGTCGGGCGAGGGCCGACCTTGGGTCGCCCTCGCCGGCGTCGAGCGAGGGTCGCCCTCGCCTGGGGTGGGTAGGCGAGGGAAACCCAGGGTCAGCCCTCACCGGCGTTGGGCGACCTCTGCTTGAGGCCGGCAACCTCCGCCGGCCCCGGCTATGGCTGGCGGAGGGATAAGAGGAAAAAAAGAAGAAGAAGAAAAGGAAAAGGAAAAGAGAAAAAAAAAAAAAGTAAAAGTAAAAGACAAAATTGCCCTTGTTCTGATCGTCAGAATAGTGACGTGCTCACCGGCTGGTAAGCATTTGACCGGCTGGCAAACCCAGATCCTTACTTAAGACTAATTGGGCATTTCGAGCCCCTATTTGAGACTAATTGATCACTTCATGCCCTTATTTGATATTATGTCCACTTTAAACCCCTTTTTGAGAAAATGACCCCACTTTGGGTACTGATTTGAAATTTTCCCTTTCTAAATGAGTTCCTTGATGAGAGGAAGTGTATGTGGAGCAACCATAAGGCTATGAGAAGAAAGGGCATGAAAATCAAGTTTACAAATTGAAGAAAGCACTGTATGGGCTAAAACAGGCACCTCGAGCTTGGTACACAAGGATCGACACATACCTGTTGGAGCATGGTTTTACATTATATATCAAGTCAAATACTAATGGTAATATTATAATTATATGCATTTATGTTGATGACTTGATATTTACAGGAAACTGTGAAATGATGTTTGTTGAATTCGGGGAGGCCATGACGAGCCAGTTTGAGATGACAGATTTGAGATTGATGTCATATTTTCTAGGCCTTGAAGTGAAGCAGACAAATGATGGCATATTTGTTTCACAGCAAAAATATGCTAATGATATTTTGAAGCGACTCAATATGGAATCGCTCAAATCAATTCAGACCCCCGTAGCAGAACGGTTGGATCTGAAGAAAGAAGGAACCGGTGAACTAGTAAATCCCACTTATTTTAAAAGTATTGTTGGCAGTTTAAGATATTTGACTTCTACTAAGCCATATATTACTTTTGGCGTGGAAATTATTAGTCGGTTCATGAAAAAACCATACCAATCACATTTGCAAGCAGCAAAAAGAATTCTACAGTATGTCAGTGGAACTCGTGATCATGGAATTTTATATTCTTACACTGACAATTTCAATTTAGTGGGGTATATAGATACTGATTGGGCATGAGATATTAAAATGCGGAAGAGTACTTCTGGATATGTGTTCTTTCTCGAATCAAGAGTAATTTCGTGGTCCTCGAAAAAACAAGTTATTGCGCTCTCAACAATTGAAGCAAAATACATGGCAATAGCTTCGGCAGCGTGTCAAGGGATATGGCTTTGTGAACTGATGCATGAACAGAAAGCTCCCACAAAATTTAAGTGTGATAACAAGTCGGCGATTGCATTAGCCAATAATCCTGTTTTTCATGGCAGGAGCAAAAACATAGATATCAAGTATCATTATATTCGTGAGCTGGTCAAAGATGGAGAGATTGAACTTGATTTCTGTAGATGCGAGCATTATATTGCAGATATTTTAATGAAACCATTGAAGGCAGATTTGTTCGAGAAATTGAAGACGTTGCTTGGTGTCGTTGATTTCCAAAATCAATTTTAAGGGAGGCTATTAGAAATATTAAAATTGTTTTTGTCTTTATCAAACTTGGTCCTCAAGCTTGTAGATCAAACTTGGTCCTCAAGCTTGTAGATCAAACTTGGTCTTCAAGTTTAACAAGTCAAACTTGGTCTTCAAAAAAACTTCACCACCTTAAGAGTAGTATAAATAGATTGTCTCCTCCTCATTTGTGTTAGTGTGTGAAAAGCCATAGAAAAAGAGAGTTGAGAATTGTGAGAGCTAAGCTTGTATTTCTCTATGTAAAGCCTAGGAAAAAGGCATTTGGAATATTATTCTCTCTTGTTTGTATATTTGTGTGCTCCTCACCAAAATGTTCAGAGTTTGTCTATATCCTTTTGGTTCCTACACCAATTAGATGAATGGCCCAGATCAGAGATTGGGCCCGTCAAGAGAAGCCCACCCAAACGGGCCGCAGAGGGAGCAAACCCGATTTGACCGAGATTGACCCGTGACCCGGGTCCATCGGGTCCGGACTCAACAACGCCTCGCTGACTCTCAGAGGAGGAGAGAACACTGCCGAGCCTGCCGCTTTCTCTATCCCCTCTCCCTCTCCCTGCGCAGCTCCTCGCCATTTCCAGCAGTCGGAGCATCGACAACACCGGCGTCGTCGTCGTCGTCTTCTTCCTTCTTCTTCTTCGTCGATGCACATGTGAAGCGGGCTTACACGTTCATGGCCTCCACTTCCTCCATCTCTCTCCACTCCCTTCCCAAGGTAATCCTCTCTCTCTCTCGCTCGCTCGCATGCTCGCAATCCTGTTCGCTTCTCGCCTATCGGATTCATTTGTTCCTGCATCTACTACAGTTGACGCTGCGGGCGAGCTGCCGGAGCCGTGGGCCGGAGCTCGGGTTCTTCGGCGTGCCGTGCTCCGGCCACCGCGCGCGCGGCGGGTTGCGTGCTCGGCCGGGGCCGCCGTCGCGAGATGAACCGAGGTTTCTCAGGTACGGAGGCTTGGTGATAGTGGCGGCTTCGGCTTCTAGGTCCGGCCGGAGTCGGAGAGCGTATCGGGAGGGTTCTTCGCTGGCTGCTGCTGCTCCCGTGAAGCAGGTCGCGTCCTTTGCTGTTCCCGCCGGAGTATTTGTCTTCGTGACCTTTGGTATGAAAGTTTTGATGTTATAGTTGATTTGCTGTGACGAAGACAATAGGAGTGATTATTGTCTATAATGAGAAATCTTTTCCTGTTTGGAACCGCTTAGAACATGGTTGTTTAAGGTTTGGCGTTGCATCTTCCATAGTCAAGAGCTTGTGAGTCCTTGCGACAAGTTTAAGATTAGCTGCGGCTATGAGTGTGGAGTTTCGTAAGTAAAGGAACTGCATATAACGGGCATGGTGAGCGTGAATTCATCTATATGTCATAAACCTTGATCAATAAGGTCTATGCGCTTTTCACCCTCGCTTTCCTTTACAGGAAGGGAATTGAAAATATTGGCTTAGGAATGTATCTTTTGGGAAATTTTGATGGGGGCAAAACCTTTTTTTGGGTTCAAAATATTGGAGCATAACTCTAAAACCTTCAACTGTTTCCAAATATTAGAGAAGTGAGTTGGGGCAAGAGCCCCCACATTCCATTATACAGATCCATCCCTGCTGAATGGGGAGAAAAGTGTGCTTATGTGGGTGGCATGCGGACTGAGAATATGGTTTGATTTGGGTTGCCTGGGATAGAAGGGCAGTGGGGAAATCTGTTTCATTTGGGGAATGCGTTGGGAACTGGAAGATGGGAAATAGAGTTATCTATTCTTGAAAGCAATTTAGGGATAGCTAGTCCCAAGGAATGCAGACAAATGAAGTTTCAGTATGACGGTTCCTACAACTGAATTCTGTGATTTAGTACTTCCAGCAAAGTGACAAGGGCAGGAAAAATTCTGTACACTTTACTATGCTTGATCAACTTTGTAATTTTGAAGTCTATTTGTTTTTATTAGTTGCTTGTTCAGGATTATATCCTTTCTTAGCATTCACCTTGTAAAATAACATCTACACGTGGTTGACTTTTGGTTAGAGAGGCATTGCATGATTCATTTATGTATCTAAAACCATGCATCGCCCTGTTTTAATATTTTGTATGCGTTGTCTTGTATATCTGTTGTACTAATTAATGTCTTCAGCTGACAGTTTTATGGAAGCTGGTGGAAAAACTTATGATGCCAAAGCAGGGGACGCCTTCAAAAATTGAAAATAAATCTCCTACACAGGGAATGAAATGGTCCTTTGCTGCGGGCACAAATCTCTTATCTAACCTCAATGCAAAGATTGAAAGACAGTCAAATCTGAAGATCAATGAGTTTGCTAAGGAACTTAGGTCATTCAGTAGCGTTGACATGTCAGGTATGCTGTTGGGGTCATTGTGAAGAAGGAAATCGGTTGCCGATAACTTACTGAATGATAATTTATGAACTTTAATGTAACCCTGTCAAAGATCTACATATTTACTAAGAACTTGAGAGCTTTCAATCACTCAACTGGAGTGCTATTTCCGGATATTGACTTACCGCAAGCTTGGTAGATTTCTTACAGTCTGTCAGATTTCCCCCTGTTTTTCCTATTCTTCATGCATATTTTGATTTTTTTAGAACTGGCTCCACATCATCTGCTTGTGGCTTTTGTCATATTTTGAACGTGTTATAACCATTTTTTGTGATTAAACTTGCTTAATCAGGTCGTAACTTTGGAGATGAAGGTTTATTTTTCCTGGCAGAGAGTTTGGGTTACAATCAGGTACTTTAAGTAAGCCACCAGTATATCCTTCAGATGTTATGATGAGAGTTATCAACTTTGGTGTGTTATGTTAACCATGCCTCTATATGCACCTTAATTTATGATTCCGTAAGGGATAAATTGGCATCTTCACCTAATTTACCTCCTTAGAGACAAACATCTCCTTGGAAATGTCTAGTGGAAGGATATTGAGAGCATTTTTTTTTCCCGACGGAAACATAGACAAACTAACCCCAATTTTAAATTTCAAAGTTGCGTGGTAGTTATTCTCCTGATGCGGATACATAGGATCCTTCAAAAAGTAATATGATGACCTCCAACGAAGTTAATTGAGGATGTCAACGTATCTTCTACGTTGAGAGGGTCCTGAGCCTTAATGTTAATTGACTCTTGCGTAAGGAGTTGAATGTGCATATAATGTGCTCTTGAACATGATATCTTCGACCAAAAAAAAAAACATGATATCACCCTGTATTTATCAGACTGCAGAGGAAGTAAGTTTTGCTGCCAATGGAATTACAGCCGCTGGAATAAAGGCCTTCGATGGTGTTCTTCAATCAAATATTGTATTAAAGACTCTTGATCTATCTGGAAATCCAATTGGAGATGAAGGAGTGAAGGTCAGTCCTGGTTTCCCGTTTCTCCTTAAAATGTCAGATTCATCCCTAGTTATATATTTTCCTAGCTTACTGTTCCCTGGAAATATTTTTGAACTCCTTGTGGTTTATAGACATAATATTGCTAAAATTCTTTCTTGATTTGGAGATGCTTGTATCAGTTGCTGATCAATCCTGTTGGGATAAACTTTCTGGGTCATCTTAAATTTGGGCCACACACTTTCTAATCTGCCAATATGTTTATGGTGCTTGGAGAGTTCCTATCCTTTGCCATACCTGACTTCAAAGAATGTTTCTGCAAGAGCTCGCGATGGATCAATTTAAGTGTTTCCATTATTTTATTATGGCTTACTTTTGCTAATAACAACATGGTTGATCACATTGGTTCTCTAGTATATGTGTTTCTTTGCCCCATTTCATTTGAACTTTCTTGTTTTCGGAACAGCTCTTTAGTGACACGTTCTTGTTGACAGAGTCTGTGTGATGTATTGGTGAATAATACGGGTATCCAAAAGCTCCTACTGAACAGTACTGATTTGGGGGATGAGGTATTCTTTGTCTTGACTGCAACATGTTCAATAAGTATTGAATTTTCGATGAAGATTGAAGCCTTCCAAATAGTGACAGGCTGTGGATGTCATCGTACTTTTTTGTGCAGGGAGCTAAGGCTATTGCAGAGTTGTTGAAGAAAAACTCAACGTTGCGAATTCTTGAACTCAACAACAATATGATTGATTATTCTGTATGTATTTACTTTATCATCTAAGATTTTAACCAGTTGTTATTTGTTAGCAACCAAAGGTTTGCCAGGCTATTCTGTTTATCAATTGTTCATCATTTATTCGCTGGTGTCAGGGATTTACAAGTCTTGCAGGAGCATTGCTCGAGAATAATACCATACGAAATTTACATCTAAAGTAAGTTAACTTTCCAATGATGGCCCCTAAAAAATTGTACCTCACCGTTTTGAAACTTCTTGTTGTCTTATCTACGTCAGTTAAGTTTTTCCGCGAATCTTAATATTTGCATCAGTTAAGTTTATCTGCGAATCTTAGTCTCCACTACAAAGATGCTTCTGAGTTTGGTTTGCATGTGTGGATTTGCATTTCCATGGTTGGCACATCTTTGATATGTGTCTAGTGGCATGCTTTACTGAAGATTGTAATGGATGTAATTTCAGCAACAACTATGGTGGTGCACTGGGGGCCAATGCTTTGGGTAAAGGGCTGGAGGGAAACAAGTCATTGAGGGTAAACTACTTATTTCTTCCTTTTTGCTTTCTTAAGGATAAACAATTCGAATTTTAGATGGGAATTCTGTCATGAGAATGTAGCGCATGCTCCTGTCAACAGGTTCTATATCTTTGTATTCATACGATGTTGTTTGACTTGCTATTGTTCTCGTCAGTCGTAATATAATGGATTGCCTTAAGGTCTTAAGAGGAGAAACCGGAAAAGCTGGTTTACTCAGATTGTCTTTGGTGCTGTCCCTTTTATGAATGTCTTGTCAATAAGGTATAAGATGGTAGAATTGACTGACTTATATATATCGTGCTAACTATGTGGGCTGCTTTTTTGAGCCAATGGAATTAGACTTGGTTGGCCATCTGTACTTTCTTTCCTCCATCCTCAACTCCCAGTCAGTGAAGAAGTAAAAGAAAAACCAACCAGTAGGACAGAAAAAGATGGGCAACTTTTCAACTCAGGAGTAAAAAAATTCCGTCTCTTGTGATATTGTGTGAAGCTTCGATAATGTTGAAAACCATTAAGTGTATTCGTATATGTATGTTTATTCGATTTCTTGTTTTACTTACATTAGTAGAAAATAAATTTACTTACTGGTGCTGCTAGTGCATGTAGACGCTTTAGTTGTACTTGTCTTTAGTTGATCATCTATTTGTTTGGAGATGAATGTTATTGTTGTCTTCTACTTTTAATACAACTATAACATTCCTAAGATGGCCCTTCCCAGCTCTATACTGTGAGATCATGACTTTGTCAAGATGAAATACTCAGGAACTTCATCTGCATGGTAATTCCATTGGAGACGAAGGAGCACGTGCTCTAATGTCTGGTTTATCCTCACACAAAGGTTTGCACCTTTGTCATATTGGCTGGTGTTCTGAGCTATGCATTTCGTTTTAGCTTCAAAACTAGCGGTTTCAATTGTCACATGTCTGTCTACAGGCAAACTCGCTCTTTTAGATATTGGCAACAACTCAATTAGCTCAAAAGGTGCCTTTCATGCTGCCGAATATATCAAGAAAAGCAAGAGCTTGTTATGGTTGAATCTCTACATGAATGATATAGGTGACGAGGTAACAACAGATTCTTTCCTTAAGTTCGTATCATGCCCCTGGTGATATTTTTGTCACATGGTCTTATCCACCTATGATCTAGTTTAGCATGCTGCTCCCTCGAAAAATTTCACTATATTCATTTCTAGTGTTTTGTTTCTGGGTCAGCATTCAAGTGTATATCTTTGCTAGGAAGTTCACATTCTGGCGTCATTTAATTCTGCTATAAGACTTCCTCCTGTTTTAATTAGTGGAGATACTTGAAGATCACATAAAGCGCTCCTTTTTCCCAAGCCATTGTTACCAAAGGAAAGCACTAGTTTATTGACATCAATTTGAGTGTTCCATTTACAAATTCACTAGGAGTAAGTCCTGTAATTTGTTGGTGTTAGTATATGTTCTGCTGTGGTCTGAAGACTCCGAATTTCTGTTTTTTCGCCCCTCATCATTACATTCTGATTAATATCTAGCTTGCCAGGGAGCAGAGAAGATTGCTGATGCTTTGAAGGACAACCGGACTTTAACGACAATAGACCTGGTAATGAATATGTGCTATCTTCTTAACTACATGATCACCGGATCTACCTTCTTAAATACTTGTGCACCAAATATGGCCTAAGGTTGATAACAGCAGCTTGTTGACTCAAAATATTGCAGGGGGGAAATAACATCCGTGCAAAGGGAGCTGCAGCCATATCTCGAGTGTTGAAAGACAACAGTGTTATTACAACTGTAATCCCGATAGCATCTAATAGTTTTTTAAATCTTGATCCCTGATTTTATGGTTGGACATTTTTTTTTATCTTACTGCGTTCCACTTCTCTCTTCCTCGTTTCCACAGTTGGAAATTGGTTATAATCCTATCGGTCCAGATGGAGCACAGGCTTTGGCTGAAGTTCTCAAGTTTCATGGAAATATAAAAACCCTAAAGCTTGGTTGGTGTCAGGTAATTCAGAAGTTCCTAACTTTGCCTTACTAATCTATCCCCAAGGGATCTAAGTAAATTGCCTTGCAGATTGGAGCCAAGGGTGCTGAGTCTATTGCAGATATGTTGAGATATAATACTACCATATCCGTTCTGGACTTGCGGGCTAATGGATTAAGAGATGAGGTTAGTTGCCGACGATGATGTCATGTTAGTTGTTGATGTTCAGTGCACTTCCTAATTCTGCAGTGCTCTCGATTTTGCAGGGTGCAGTTTGCCTCGCTCGAAGCTTAAAAGTGGTTAATGAAGCTTTGACTTCACTTGACTTAGGATTTAATGAAATAAGGGTATTGTGAATGTTTCATTTGTGGAGTTTTTAGCAAGGATGACATGCATGCTTGCGAATAATATTTGTCTTTCTCATATAGGATGATGGTGCTTTTGCCATTGCCCAAGCACTTAAGACCAATGAAGATGTGGCAGTTGCCGCCTTAAATCTTGCCAGCAACTTGTTTACTAAATTTGGACAGGTAATTTTTTCAGACTGTTCTTTTTGTGTGCTTAAATTGCTTATCGTGCGCATCATCATTGCCCTTTGGTTGTATTGACTTTAATATTTTGCAGAGTGCTCTGACAGATGCGAGGGACCATGTTTTTGAGATGAGCGAAAAGGAAATCAACATCTTCTTCTAGACGGTAGCCAGTCCTTTTACTAAAATGCATCTGTCCTGACAGTATAGCAGGAATTCCCATTCTTTCACTCGTTCTTCTTTCGGCAGTTCTCTCGTAAAGGAGAAGACCCAAAGCTCTTCTTGGTTGTAGTGGTTGTGGTCTTTAGATTGACCAAGAGGAGTTAGAGTTGGAAAATTTTTGAGTTGTGAGAGATCATAGTTAGCTTCGGGAAATGTAATTTTTAGTTCAAAGGATATGACAGTTGTGTTTTGCAGATAATAAACGCGCAAGGATATAATAAAATCTCCTTCTCATTTCTCATCGAATCATTCCACTTGGTCACTCAGTATGCCTGCTGCTACTGATTTATGTTTGATATGTTCTATTTAACGTCGTCTTCAGTGTTAAACCTGCAGCTCGGTTGTAGTGTGAGATCGCCGTCCTGGATGAAATCGGAGCCAGCTACGCATGAGCAGGAGGGAGGGACGCGGTTGCTGTCATCATCGTGTGCTCTTTTCAGTTCATTCGATCTGGCCAGCATAAGAGGAATCCCCCACGTATCAAGGTGAGATCAGGGGAAGGTGCAAGGTATGAGGTAGTCAAACTAGGTCACCTCCTCATGGTTAAGGATTCGTGCCCATTTACTATACAGCGCCCACTGGACCGTGGGCCGCGGCGCGGTTGGTAAGATGGACAGGCGACTTGGGGTCCTATCGAAGATAATTATTTCTGGAAGTGGAGGCATGAGCTGGAACGTCTTCTTCACGCTTCCCCACGTCTCTGTGTGTGTTTTTTATGCTAACCTCCTTCCAGCTGGAGCAGAGCTGTCCTCTAAATAGAGAATAGATGGGTGATGTCCATCCATATTTCCTCCTGATCGGTGTCCCCGAGCTCAGTTATCCAGCCCCACCTGTGGGGTTCATAGGTTCGGACCAAGGACACTCAGCAGTATTTAATACGAGGCCGGTACATGACTCGTCTTTCATTCGCATTGCAAAATGTTCATGCCCAGTGAATGACTCTTAATCATTCGGATCTGCTTCCCAGATGGTAGTGGGCACCCGTCGGATTGTTTACGAAGAAATGATTAGATGTTAGATGATTAGGTAGGAGGATACTAGGGTCGAGTACGAATTTGTTTCGCGATAGTATATGCGAAAAACTCCCATCTCTAAATGTAGCAACGGAAGGGCTAAAGAAACCTTCACGGAGTCAGAAAATCGAGAACTCGAGCATCATTCTAAGCCGGAAATACGAATCAGATGGAAAAAAAACATTGCAGAGGAAGACCCGGCGGTCAAAGGCCGTAAAGTGTGAACACTGAAACCCAGAATAAATTTATGTACCCCACTGACCCATCTCTAACAATATTCATCATACGTACGACAGTCCACTATATATTTGTTTCTTTTTTCCCCTTGTTGTACGAGACCAGAGAGAGAAAAAAACAGTAGTTCTCTCTCGTGCGCGCACTGATCTTGCCTTGCTACTACCGTGCTGCTCACCCACTTGGTATTGTTTCAAGCTGCGAGAGTCGCAGTTTCGTGAGAACACGTGATTCGACAGTGGTTTTATTTTTTTTTTAACTAAACTGCTATGATCCGTACACGAGTCTAAAGGGGAAAAGAGAGAGTAAAAAAATTACGACACCGTGCTAACATACTTTCTTCACACGGTGGCAGCAAGTGACGATTACCTAGCCATAAAAGAGAGAGGAAGTGACCATTCGAAGCTGCCCGTGAGACATTGGGTCAGACATAATTGCACAATGATGTTGTGAGTAGAGAGGTATGAAGAGCTAAAAGAATACAAATGGAGGTTGGTTTAGCGGTAGGGGTTGGAGAGGGCATGCGGTCCCCGGTTCGAACCGCGGAAAAAGCACGAAGAAATACGGTGCAAGTGAAATTATTTGGGATATATGTATCATCAATGCATAAAGAAAACAAAGGGAGAAATTTGTTTGCCCCACTAAGCTGACAAGCCCCAGTTTGCACGTTTTGTTATGTTATGTTATGTTTCGTTTCTTTATTTATTTATTGATTTTTTTATTTTGGAAGACAGAGATTCTGATCTTCCGGGTCATCCTGTAAATAAGAGCAAGTGGATTGGCCAATCCTGTAAACTCATGTGCACCAAGGCAACTACTTAAACCCTGGTCTTCACTGTCAAACCCCCACTTGAAAAATCCCAGCTTGGCTCTCTGACTGTTCACTTGGTGGAAGTGTTGAAGTGTGGAGATACCTGAAGTCATGGCACTGCGCTTGCTTCTTCTTGTCGCATTTCTGCTCGTCTGCACAATACAAGTAAAGAAGAACGCCATTCTCATCTTCGAAATTCATTTGGGTCTCTTTCCTTCTTTTGATTTGAGGTGACAACTTATATTTTCCTTGAACAAAAAACTTGCAGGTGTCATCGGATATCGACCTAGAGAACTCTCACGCCCAGGTCTTTTTCTTTCTTTTTTTAAACCAAACCTTCTTTTGATCTCGACTTTATTACACCTCGACCAGCACTTCCAATCTTTGAAATTGTAAGTGGTGTTGTGACTAAGGTTTTCAGTGGTTCTTTTTCTCTTTTTTCAGATTGTGAAGGGAGCTAACAGGAGGCTTTTGCAGACCATGGGTATGTGCTCATCTTCACTCGTCTGTAATCTAGAGCACTCAATTTACTCTTCATTCCACGTTTGAGGTTTTGTTTTTCCCCCGTTAACATGAATGAGCATCTACACTCATGCAAGCAACTTTTTTTTGTCTCTGGAAGGCTTACATACCAAGAGAAGTCACCACCTCACCAACCCCGTCTTGTCCCAAAAAGGAAAATCAAATCTTTCGGTCCAAAAAATTATCTTATTTTGCTCTTGGATTGACAAAGTCAGTTATCTTGTTAAAATACGCGATGCGTTTTACTTCCCGCGTGAACATGATCATTTCATGTTATGGGATCGTCTTGATCTTGCTAAATTAATCTAGATTATAGTAGTTACCTAGTCACTTACTTTGAGACTCGAATTCCACTAATATAAAGCATGTGTAGTCATTCTCGACTACTAGCGGACCATTAGAGCAAGAACATGAACCGCACCTACACAACATCGTCGCATCAGCACGTACAGAAAACCAGGATCGTTAGGGGAAAAAAACAGGATCCCATGATTAATAAACTTCCTCGATAATTAAATTTCAAGGAATAACATGCCCGGCCTTTTCGCTAATAAGCTTTCCACCACTCCAATGTGCAGACTGTGGAGGGCTGTGCAAGGAGAGATGTAGCCTGCACTCGAGGCCCAACGTGTGCACGAGGGCCTGCGGAACTTGCTGCTACAGGTGCAAATGCGTTCCTCCGGGGACTTCAGGAAACAGAGAGGTGTGCGGCAAGTGCTACACCGATATGACCACTCACAACAATCAGACCAAGTGCCCTTAACTGTTGCGTCCACGGATCCTCTCTATCCTGTTGTAATGTTGTGACAGTGGCATTAGTATATATGGTGTGTTCTATGCTAGTAAGCACTGCTCGAGACCAACTTTGTAATGTCATCTATTTCAGTAGAAATTGTGGATGTATGATCTACGCTACTCTTTGAAAGTGCATCCAAGTCGGTTTTTCTAACGTGACAGACATGGAACTTATGACTGCAACGCGTGCGAACTGCGCAATTTGCCCCGAGTCCAATCTTGGACTGTGTTTTAGCTGAATATCCTTCGCTAATGAAATGGCTCATACAGAGTTGACCGATATGTCCAAGGTGCCACCAGGACTTCTGTGGACAGAAAGGTTGAAGAGCAAACCAGAATTGCTGGTTAACGAATCAAACAAGACGTTTCTCTTGTTTTTCCGACTTCTGGCATCTAATTTTGTAAAATCAACACTAACACAGGCCCACGAGAAATATAACCTACTGTACTGTCAGATAGTATGATGAAATAGCTTAGAGCACCCTCCCCGCAGTCCAAACCACATCGTAAGGAACTCAAAAGGAATCAATCTTGAAGCTCCTGCAACTCTTAGCAGATCCTTTTTTCTCTTTCTCAGTCTTCTTATTCTTCAGGTCATTAAGCAGATTTCACAAAAGGAAGGTCCAAGCCATCTCATTTCACCAATATGGTCAGAGTTGTGGCAGAGTGGAGCAATTGAGAACCGCAAATATATTACAATACAGAAAGATGACAACAGACTTGAAACAGAGATAAAACTGCGATTCATAATCGATTCAACAAAGAGAAATTTTAATAATTCAGTGGGCTTGCATGCTTTTGATTATATAATCACTTAAAAGCTATGTTACAAGAGGTGATGACCTTGAAGCAACAAAAGCAATGTACACACTTGCACCTGCTGTAATCTCCCACCAAATTTCTTACGCATGTGACATTTCAACCCCAGATGCTCCCGACTTTAATAGACCTGCCAACCAAAAGTATATGTCAAATCTGAACCGAAAAATCCACTGGGAGTAAAAAATCATACAAAACATCAGTTATTGGATTTCAAAGGCCTAAATTACAAGTTCTAATTGTAACAGCCCAAAGGTGGACACCATTGCATGGAACCACGTGATTACACCACATACTGTCCAGTGGTTTTATGATGATGGGATTAAAAATACAGATGCATAGAGATTCAAAATGTTTACCTCGCTTCTTGAGCTTATTTCTAAAGCTTCTTTTCCTGCTGAAAGCCATTTCCTGTGTCCAAGACAAATTTTAGTCGTGATGCGAAGAGCAGGTACCCAAGTGATCCATATAGAGAGTTGAAATGAACAAAAATTTACCAGTGGCTGACCCAGCTTCCCCGCTTGACGAACTGCATCAACAAGATCCCGATTTGATTGAGTATAGAGACTTGTGATCACTCCAAAATGACCAGCTCGAGCAGTACGGCCGACCCTATGCAAAAAATCCACCGCAGAAGTAGCAAAATCTGCCTGCAGAAAAGGGAAAAAATTCCACATCAGCACTAGCAGGGACTTAACAAATTTGTCTAAAATTCCCAAGCTAGGACTGCATCAGCGTGCATTATAAATTAGAAACAAAGTTAGTTCATCTGAAATTAGAACGATTATAGGTAAAACAGTCGTCTCAGAATCTCCAAATTGATTGCTTATGAAGATGTTAGTATAAAAGTTCGACCAGAGAAGGCATCAGTGAAAGAACACTGTACTAGACTATTAGCAAACTATCAGCAGGTGGTGCCATGGTGTAAAAAACATACTCATCGGATTTATAATAGATGATATCTTATTTCCCCTTTTCTAAGCCTGGCCAATCATGAAGAATTGATCAAAGGACAAAGAGGAAAAAAGGTGGTTTCACAAATGCACCTGAATAACGTGTGATACATTTGGAACATCAAGGCCTCGTGCTGCAGCATCGGTGCACACAAGAATTCCACCTCTCTCCCGGAAACAAACTATGGTCTCTGCACGCTGCTCAAGAGAACTATCCTTGTGGTACCGGTAACAATCTATCCCAGCTCTTTCCAGTATATTTGCCACTGCTTCAACAGACTCAACAGTGTTTGCAAATACCATGGTTCGGCTTACACCAGAGCAATCAGTTGAAGTTTTCGAACCTTTCTTTACAGCTTCTATTAGTGCATCAACCTGTGTATCAACATCAACCTCGATCCACCGGTGCTCCAATCTGGAAAAAAGAAGAAGAGAATCCTAGTATCAATATACACTCGAAAGACAAGGCATGCAATTGACCAAAACATTGCAAACATAGGTACCATCTCAGAAATTACACACACACACACAAACCTTATAAGAGGGAATGACATAAGTACAGTGTAATGTCAACAGAATAGTGATTGGAAAAGAATCCTGCTTAAGACAAACAAAATCTTGGCAATAGATTATATGCCTTAAGTTAACTCAAAAACATTATCTTGAAAATGTTCTTGTTATGAATCATTCACCACGTCTTAAACAGCCCCTGAATACACGCATAATAATTTAAAGCTTGAATTTGTCAAGGATAACATGCTGTTGTCAAGCAAATGGAGGAGTAAAAAGGGCAACGGCAAGAAGAGAGGGCCATCCAAGAAGCATAAATTGACAAAAATAACTTGTTCTCCAAATATAAGGCACCTGGGGTTGTGATAGTGGAGGTAGTTTCCACTAATCCAACTAGCATCTGGAAACATCTTCTTCAACACTGCTCCTGCAGTTTTCTTGCCATTTGTCGGAAGTGTAGCTGCAACAAAGATGTACTGCTTACTCCTTTCGTAGTGTTTCCTCACTCTCCTCCAGTCTCTTCTCTTCAGATGTCCCTCTTTATTTTCGTCTCCTAATTCTGCAGGAACGACATCCTCAAAATCTTCCTCTTCATCTGAAGTGATGTGAGCATCTGATTCTATTTCTTCATCGTCTTCCAAAACTGAGGGAAGTGCAGAATCAAGACTCGTTGCTATGGGTTGATGGAGGACAGAACTTTTGTTCCGAGACAGTAATTTCTCATCAAACCGCAGCATATTAAAGAGACGAATGACTTGGTTCTGGAAACTTCCACAGAGAAGCATGTCAGCTTCATCAAACACCTGCCAATGTAAACACATATAGATTAACTAAAAATATCCAAACTTCTCTATACTTCTTGCTAATATATTTCTGGAAGTAAATAAAGAAAAAGAGTGGATGATGAAAACATACCACGTACTTAACTCCTCGCAAAAAATCTGTACAATGGGTTTTATGGTCAATATTGTTCAACAGCGCAGCCGGTGTCGACACAATAATATCTTGCTTGTTAACTGGCCATCCCTGCATTAAATTTTTCGGTTTAATAATGAGAACCACATTGAAACAATGTTCCGACATCAACAAGAAATGCCATGCATGTGCAGTGTAAGCGAGTCAAGAACCTTCGACTGACAGTAAACTCCACAAGCTTGCTACACAGATATCGGATGCACGGGCAGAGTAAGCGTGCAGAAGCAGGTCAAACAGATCATCCTTACATTTCGCCCGCATACAGCAGCAACCCTGAGAAGCGGCTCGCCATCTTCCCCGAAAAGATCACTAGCCATACGCACCACTTGTTCGCATAGCATCACGTTCGGGCAAAGGACGAGAAGAGTCTTAGAATGTAGAATCGACTCCTCGCCCGCACCGACATCATGTGCATCGCACAGTCTATCTATCAAAGGGACCAGATAGCTATGCGTTTTGCCGCTACCAGTCTCTGCAGCTATGATCACGTCCTTCCCTGAAAGTATGGACGGTACGCTTGACGCCTAAATCGAGAACAAGAACAATCAGCATAGGTTCGACACATTGACAAATTCTACGAAGGCCAGAATTGAACAATCGAAGGAGGAGGACCTGAACAAGAGATGGCCTGCCGATGCCGGCGTCCGAGAGAGCTCGCGAGAGCCTGTCGGACACGCCGAGGGACTTCCACGAGACGCCTTCTCCGGCGTAAAACGTCTCCCCGCCATCCCCGGCGGAGGCGGCCGCCGCGGAGCTCCTGGCCCGGCTGTGGCGAGGTCCGATAAGCCAAAGCGACGGCGATCGGCGAGGAGAGGAGGGAGGAGAGAACGAACGGAAGAGGGAGGAGGAACGAGAGAGGTTGAACTGGGCGGCGAGAAGGTGGTGAGGCGGCGGCGGGAGCTTGTGGAGATGGAGGATCAAGGTAGATCGATGGAGAAGCATCTGAGATTGAAGATGGAAAACGCTTCGGGATCTTTGGGCAAATCTCTCTCAATTTCATGCGATTGAATTTGGGAGCGGAGGATTGGAATTTCTAGGGTTTAAGCTTAAACCCCGCGCCTTCTGCGTTGGAACAGCTACAAAGCTCCGCCGTCGATCGACCCCATTTTGGGGCTTCGGAGCTCCGGCCGTTGATCCGGCGGTTGGGCTGCGATTGGGTTTTATTGCGGGTCGGGTGGATCCTCTCTTCCGGGGGCGGACGCGGGTTCGCGGCTCCAGCGGATCCAGTTGAGATCAAGCCTAAAAAGCCTTATTCCGTATCAAAAAACAGAAATTAAGAAAGTATACATGTTAAATGTAAACATTGTGAGGTTGAATGGAAGCACGAAAAAATAATAATAATAATAATTAGGCCCGGTGCATATGAGCCCGACATACATGCATTCTTTAATTGAAATGAGTTCCACGTGAGACCCACATGATTTAACGATGAATGTGAGTTTGAACTCACGTAATTTTTCTTTTTGATAAAAGAGCTCACATAATTTGAGTGCACCCAATTCATGCTTAAAGTAAATAATTTATCATGATTGACCATTTTTAACTTGACGGAGCTTAGGTAGACTTGCCATCTTTAAGATTATAAGAAATAGATATTCATTTCATAACAAGGAATTGTTTTAACTGAAAAAAGCCTGTAAGGCACGAGCCTATAATAGATACACGATATACTTCCTTCTAATGAAACAGTTAGACGACGCTTTAGAAACTTATCAAAATCTCTATGGATAGGAAGTACTTTATAAGTTGATCGATGTTGCTATTCGGACCAATGATCGATTTAACTAGATATGCTCTTTTTAGAAGTTAAAAGTATAGACCGGTGTTGATCGTCTATTCGGTGAATTTCTTTAGAAGGCTCGCGCTCTGTTCATTTGGACTTATAGCTACTTCACACTCTCGAATATTAAGGTATGAGATTGACGAGCTATCGGCATGAACCGACTTGCTTTTTAACCGTTCGCAAGACACTCTAGATATCACACAAGATAAGAGGGCTCAAAGGTGCAAGTACGCTAGAGATTGCTCATCGATACGACTCGAAAGACGGATAGAACACGCGGTCATTGAGCCAAACTGAGAATCGAAGTGTCTTTAAGTTCTTTAACATTTAAATTACACACGCTGTACATAAATCAATTGTCTAGAGGATCATTGGATTCAAATAGATCGGTCTCGAGATTGAAAAATGCTTGCCACTTCTTCTCCAAACACCAGCAAGCGGAATAGCACCGACTTAAGATGAGCCGTGACACGTGTCCTCATGGGGGGCGAAGTCTTTCCGCCGCCAGGACGACAAATTTTCAGCCCTATCCATGTCCTTCTGTCTCGCTATATATGCCCTTCTGCAGTATCAGTCTCTCTCGCTCGACGACAGACTCCGACCTGAACGAGAAGAAATGTCGGCGATCCAGAAGATCTCTCGCCTCGTGCACGACCTGGACGAGCTCGCGGCGAGCTACACAAAGACCTCCGACGAGATCGACACGCTGCAGGAGGCCAAGCGGCACATCAAGAACGAGCTCAAGTCCGCGCGACATGAAGGCCTCCGACCGGAACCTCCTGAAGGCCGAAAAGAGGACCGCCATCCAGAAAGCTCGAGCGCCAGTGGGCTTGTGCAGGACAAGCAGATGCGGCCCATTTCAACTTGAACCGGCTCAAAAGGCCCAGTCGCGAGGCTCGCGCTCGCGCGCTTATCTTCATCGGCGCGTCCGCCGCCGATGCTTTGGCTCGGTCGAGCGAGCCGCCGCGAGAGCTACCGGCGATGGCTCTTCAAGCTCCTCTTCTCTTCTTATCATCTCCTCCTCCGCTCCCTCCGTCCACATGCGACCCCGAGATGAGCTCACATGGCGTTCCTTCGCGTTTTCAAGTCAAGCCCATCTTGTCAAGAAGACCCAGAAACTCTCCGAGCTGGGTGAGGGCCACATCTTCTCAGAAGCACGTGTACCCTGATCCCATCCCGGAATTCGCAGCATCTGTGTGTTTCCTATTCCTTCATAAACCTCTCCTGCTCGTGGTCGCGTCATGTGCCTGAATTTCGCGATTCTTGTCTTTTCTTTTTCGTTTTTTGACCTGATGAGTCGTGTGTGGTCTGTGAATGTGTTGCGTTCCACAAGGAGACGCGCAAGTTCGAGGGTGAGCTCAGGGAGAAGCTGTCCGGGGACGTTGACACAATTGGGGAGGATCTTGATTCGGTCATACGAGTGCGCACCCAGGTTCAACACTGTTTCTAGTTCTTGTTCTTATGTCTTTGGTTGATATGTTCGCAGTTTTGGGAAGAGTATAATCGTCGCAATTCTCACTTTTGCTGCGATTGGTTTCGTATTCTCACCGGTACATGAAGCGCACGAGCATTCTCTTTGCTTTTCTTTGGAAAACTTGCGCCTAGAACGACTGTACAATTGTAAGCCGGCTCTGGTGTGGATGGTTGATGAGCATATATTACACTTTCAAGAAGTGGGTGAAAAGTTATCATGGATGGGCATTCTTTTACCCTGTCTGGGGAAAACGTTGGATACTACAGACCCATTTCATGGTTAATGTGGCCGACGAAAGATTCATGCCATTATTAGCGTAGCACATTATTTTGTGGGGTCGGTCGGGGGTTGAGCGCTCTTGAAAAATGGTTGGCTCGATTTGTTACTATTTGCACGGGTCTCGGGCAATATTTACCCCTCCAGCTCACTCTAGGACGATGGGACTGAACGCCTAGAGCGTGACAAATGAGTAACAGGGTCCGAGTCGATCATTGTGGTCTTATATCTCCATGTGGAACTTGGGTGATTCATGTGTACATAGTAATCTGCATATATATATATATATGGATGTGCGTGTTACGAGAAACATGAGGTCCCACGATTAGGGGATATTGGTTAAGTTGGAGAAACGCTCTCAGGTATTTTTACTCCTGCTGCCTCTTGGTTTTTCTGTTTTTTCAGCGAGGCTAATTTGATTTGTGTTTTCTCGGTGTGTAACGGCCCGTTAATTCTTTTCATTTGGGTTATCCTGCTGAGAATTCTTATGGAATGCATTGCACAATCACGCAGCGGATGCGTTTAAGGAGTGAAAATCGATACTTTACTCTGGAACGAGTTTGCATTTCTAGCAGGGCTCTTCGGAGCTTTGCCGATTGAACTAGTTGAGGTCATCTTGTTCGTTACAAGGCAACTTGATTGGAAAAACATTGACAATACTCTACCTCTTCAAATCCATGCGACATGTCGGTTGTCATGTGAAGGTCCTCGTGTTCAAATTGGAAAGTGTTAAATAATTGAGGCCTGAAAGAGGAAATACGACCTGACATCAAGTTAACCACTATTCCTCAGACATAGCCATCAAATTGTCCTTGCTTTTTGTACATGCTTGGGCCAGCGCTCGCAAACTTTTTCATATCTTCATCCGTTGTTTTTTGCAGAAGATTCAAATCTTCATAAGAACTTTAACTTCAGATTCACAGGATTGTTAACTTAGACTGCTGTGTCTTCAAGCTCAGCTATCCAGCGAATTTCTCCATGAGGAATATGGAGGACCTGGGACATTGCTGGTGGATCCTTTTACAGATATGCTCGTCGCCCTTAAGGAGAACAATTTGACTGGAGCTACTCTCGCTGTGCGAGCATCGATGCTGTGGGCTCAAAACTTTGTTGATCAGGACTGGGAAATTTGGAACACGAGACGATCGAGCTGAATTGTATTATTGTGCTGTCTCAAATGTTGTACACTTAATGCATTATGACCGTGATAATGATTAAACAATAGAGTATTCGTGAATTTTCATGAAAACATATTCGATTGCTGCTGCTTATGACTTGACTGTACAGAGGGCTGGTAACACCTAACAAGGCAAAGGTTCTGCAGCAATTAATCATTCTCTGCATACCCATTAAGACAAATTCTGGCACATGACATTTATCTCCACAAGAACTTGGCACATGTATACTTCAGCAGTGGTCAGCTCCCTGCCTCGGAAATGCTCTGTAGAGTTGGGCGCCATAGTTTTGACTTCGCCAAGGCAGAGTTTGTCGGCCTGTTGTTCTGGTTTTTTAGGTTCTGATGTTTCCGCAACCGACCATCCTGCAAGTCAAAAGTAAGAGTTAATTCAGATTGCAGTGTCCACAATGAATCGAATTTGTCACGTGTCCTTGAGGTTTTCATTTTCTAATCTCATTCTACCGAAAGCACTTGCAAAGAAAGATCATGAATTACACATGACTTGCTGATCGTGAGGAGTATTGAGACTCGTGCAAATCTGTTTGATATATTTCCTCCCTAGCTGCTTGTAAGGATTCAAGTTATATGATTCTCTTGTCTGGAGAGAAAGCGGTAGCGATGGACCACAAAGTGATGCAATACAGACTGTTAAAAACATTGGGAAGATGCTGACAGATCTTGGAAAGTTGAGGACTCGATAATGTAATGAAAAGCCTTAGTTGCTTAGTGACAGATACCTGGTTGGTCTTTTGTGTGTCAGAGCTCTCTCCTCCTCCTCCTCCTCCTCCTGTCTGACAACTTGCGTCCCTAAGTGCTGATACCCCCACCTCGGATTCTGATTCCTCAAATGTCTCTGGCTGCTGTTGCTGCTTCTTCATCTTTGCATACTTCTTGGCTCTCAGGACTTTCATCACCTCTAAAAAACCAGAGTTCATGAAAATTTAGCAGCTGCTCTTGCATTGAGCTTCTCATGAAGTTATTGTGAGCAGATGAGAAGAACAAAACGAACACCTCGCTCTGATGTTCTGGGATGGCAAGTATGTCTCTTCGTAAAAGCTGTTAAGTAAAAAGAGCAAGAGGATGTCGATGATACCTTGAGAAGTAATAAGGCGATAGGCATGACCAAGAGCGAGAGTTTCGCTTGGCCGGAGAAGCTTCACGCGGGTGAACCGCACGGCCTTCGGGTCGCCGTTATCTTCCTCGAACGTCGGCGACGGGAGCGGGATTATCAGGGAGACGTAGTGGCCGGGGTTGTTCCTCATGACCTCGCTCGCCATCACGGGCCAATACAGCCTCTCTATCCTCCCATCAGGGTGCTGTATCACTAGAGCCGCGGCATCTATAGCCTGGCAATTCCCCATTTTCTCTGTCGCTCTCAAGAAGAAGAAGAAGAAGAGAGTGAAGATAGACAAGAAGGAAGAAGAGAGGAAGGAGGGTTAAGAAAGGAACAAGAGTCTCTTATCTCTATGCACTCGCACAACCCACCAATTATCATACCACCATCCCTTATTTCCAAAAACGCTGAAAAAATTTATAAAAAAATTGGAAAAATTGAGGTTTTTTTCTTTGTTTTTTTTTAACATAAGGAAGGCCGTCCCTCGATTCCCAACTAACAATATTGGCATGCACAGGCCGAGTTCTAATCAAGTTGACATCAAAGCGGCACGGCATATAAAACTTTATATCATATCATATTATATTACAATGGGTGTCAAGATTAATAGGAGAGCTTATCATAATAAGATAATATGAGTGTACACAATTGATTAATCTTTTTTTGGAAAAAATAATTGTATTAGAAAACGGTCAGCGGCACCGGTCTTGGAAGCTGGTGAGGTTGCCATATGGCGTGACGTCAATTGTCAGGATATGCAAAACTTGGAGGGGTGTGCCTGGAACTGTCGACAGGGTCAAGATTTGCATTTTAGGGCATGATTAGATCTTGTTTCTGGGTTTCAAATTTGATTAAAAAGTGAAACAAATTAAGTATTATGAGTAATGACACGAAAAACCATGCGTGGGGAACGAGAATCAGATTCCTTTGGAAGGACAACAACAACAACCTAACATCCTATCTATCTAGGTCGATTTTCCTTTTAAAAAGAGGAAAAAGAGAGACTTCATTTGGTTTTTGTTTAGTGGGTTTACGGTAATTATAAGCATAATTCAGTCTTATAGGTTAGAATCAAAAGGGTCTTTCCAAAAAGTATATATGTGCTGATTATTAGTTACTCTCAATATAATTGTTTGTTCTTTAGCACGTACAGAGATTGATCGTCGAATGTCGTCTATGGATTTTGCATAATTTGTGAAGAATTATGATCTAAGTTGAAGTTTCAATGTTCCTAGCCATGTCTCGATCGACATAGCAATAGTGACCACAACTCGGTATTAGATGCAATGATGTAAACAAAAATAAATAAGCTAGAGGCCAACTAGAATTAATCTGATGGAATGCAACATGCTCCGTAAATTATGCACAAATAATTTGCGGGATGGTCTCATTATGATCGGCTGATGTTTATTACAATCCAGTAATCCACGAGACCCTTTCCTTTTATCTTTTTCAGTACCGTGTCTTTTGATTAATCAAATCAAGTGATTGAAACGATGAGCAATCCATCTCTCCGAATGAGCTGAACCTAGCTAGTTTATCGAACTCTCGACTTTTTGTCTGAGCCATCTTTTGATTGATGAGACTTTTTGAAGCCAAAAGAATGCCCCGCTAATATCGCCAAAATTGCTTTCATTAGTTCCTTTGTCTAGCTTAACGGTTGGGCGGTGTCCAGGTCAACTTTCGCATATCTCGTGAATTTAATGATAAAAACAAAGTAAAACATCACCAAAAATCCTAAACTATGCCACTTATGATAAATTTACCCTTAATTTTTTTTTTGACACGAAAAACTCAAAACTATGCCACTTGTGATACATTTACCCCACAATACTTTGGCCCAAGAGCATTTTTGTCTTTTTCCTTTTTCTATTTTTTCTTCCTTTTTTTTTCTTTCTTCTCTCTTCCCTCCGGCGGCCATGACGAAGGGAAGCTGGCAAGGGCGGCCCTCATCGGCGCTGGTTGGGCGAGGGCTGCCCTCGCTGGCGTCGGGCGAGAGTCACCCTCGCCCGACTCAGGCGATCCTCGCCGGCGTCGGATGAGAGCTGCCCTCGCCTACCCAAGTGAGGCCGACTCTTGCCCGAAGCCGGCGAGGGTCGCCCTCGCCCAACCCCAACACTGGCGAGGATCGCCCGCGCCGGCTTCCCTCCGCCATGGCCGGCGGAGGGGAGAGAGAAGAAAGGAAAAAAAAAAATAGAAAAAAGGAAAAAGACGAAAATGCCCTTGGGCTAAAGTATTGTGGGGTAAATGTGTCACAAGTGGCATAGTATGGGATTTTTCGTGTCACAAAAAAAAATTCACGGTAAATTTATCACAAGTGGCATAGTTCGAAATTTTTTGTGGTATTTTCCCTAAAAACAAAGCAACGTCTACATGTCATTGTCCATGCAAAGAATAACCTTAGGGCTATCATCGATGAAAGTTCTTAAAACCCTTATGTCGCGAAAAAAATCTTTGAATGTTAAAAAAAAAAAATTCTCTATCCGGCCGGGTTGATTACGAGAGAATGCATAACTTAATTGAATAACTAATTAATTAAGAGGAAGTAAATCTTGGGGAGGATCTTTGACTCCTGTAAATCAGGCTGATCATCCTAAATTAATTAGCTGAATCCAAGTGTTTGAGATTGCGCCAATGATTCACATGGACCATCGTATATATCTGATAAGCCTTACTCAAATGTAAGGCCATGTGATGTGCCGGTATATGTGGCTCCAGCATTAAATGAACGAATGGACCGGTTTCAATTCTTTAAACTTATACCATGACTAGTGTAGGGGACTACTGCCTACATGGAAAAGCACAAAAAAAAAATCCTAAATTTATTATATTTGTATCGATTCAATCCTAAAATTTTTAATTGTGCTAATTGAATCCCAAAATTTTTGAAGATTTGCCAAATAATCCATCCGACAAATTTTAACTGGTAATCACCGACATGGACATGGACAATTTTTTAAGTTTTTAAAAAAATTTCGTAATTTATTATTACTTTTTCTTTTTTTTATTTCTTTTTTTTTTCCCAACTATGGGCCGGCAAGGTCGCCAGTCAACACTCGTCGGCCACAGGAGAAGGCCTCCACCCCTCGCCGGTCGAGGGCCATGAGCCCTTCGCTTGTGGCTAACGAGGGTGTGGCGACCCTCGCAGGATCTTGGCAAGGGCGGCGATGCCCTCACCCAGACAAAGCGAGGGCATCGGAGCCCTTACTGAATGCCGACCAACAAGTGAGGGCCCAACGCCCGCGCTTGTGGTCAATGAGGGTCGTTGGCCCTCGCTTGTGGCCAGCGACCTCACCAACCCAGAGTTCTAAAAGAAATAAAGGAAGAAAAGAGAAGAAAAGAATATTAAAAAAATTTGAAAAATATTAAAAATTTGTAAAATTTGTCTGGTCAGCGTTGGTTGTGTTATGTAAAACGGCTGATGTCCATGTTAGAGATTTTCGGTCAAAATTAGCCGGATGAACTATTTTGGCAAATCGTCGTAAATTTTATGACTCAATTGGTACAATTAAAAGATTTGTACTTTTCCCACTGCCACTAGTATTTAATTGATTTGAGAATGTTTAGGGCCATCATTGAAGGACTTAATCTCTTATACATCTGGTGTATACACCCTCCTCCTCTCATATGATCGTCGATCATATGTGATTAAAATTATATTACATGGGAGAGGAAGGAAGTATATACGAGGAGTTTCTAATAATCTCGCAATGTCTAGAGAGTTAGATAGTCAAGTTCTAAGTACTCTTAGTAGGACATTTTGCCAAAACAAAAGGGTCCATACCAACTACAAACAATTCTGCATATAAATTATCAATTCGAGTTTTGAACCACGTCTTATCTAGTCCATGATATAGGTAGGGTATGTCATGGGTCTGGGGTTTCACTTGATTTTGACCCTCGTTTCACCCGGCACTGAGCAATGGCCCTGACGTCGATCGGTATGTATGACTACTTTAATTCAGAGAACTAAATGAAAAGCTTTTAAATACCTAGCAACAGGACCAAGCCAGTGGGGGAGGGGGACACATTGTTTTCCATCTAAATGAGCAGAATTGACTTGCCAGTTGCTTTCTCTACATTCCCTTACACACACCCAACAATTAAACTGCAACTGATTTGAAGGGTCTTTAAGAATGTCTGAAGCTGAAGCGATGAAGAATAACTACAATGCAGGCCTCAGGATACTATAAATCTAAGAAGGACAGAGAAACGGTGGTTGCATCTGTCCATGGACATTGTATTTATTCCAAAGGACCACCTTAATTTGGAATCAACCTAAGGAACACTTCGGAAGAGACCAAGAGCTTAGATACAGCGGGGACTAATCGATCCCACAATTTTGCAGCTACATTGTTCTGCAAAGAGAACCCTAGCTCTGCTAGAGTAGATGCATAAAGTATTTTTCTCATTCGCTCTTTCCAAATATTCGTAGGCGAATATTAGACTTTTACGGGACCCATTATTACCTCGTATTTAAGTGATGTGAGTTATTTTTTAACACTTCGAACCCTTTAAGACAAATACAACTAATCGATTTTCTCGAATATATCTGTTGAGCTTATCCGCCGTTTATTCCAAATTATTATTTTGCGGAGTGCAACTTTTGATATCATGGGTTTCATTTAATCCTCTAATCCATATCCGTCCAACTTCTCTACAGAATGTTCAAGCATAAAAAAACACATAAAGATGGCGGTAGAACCAAGGAAAGAATCAATTCTATGTCATGAATGTGATTGATCTGATTGGTGGATCCTATTCTCGTGTGGTTTAGTGCTAGTAAAAAGGTTATTTTAATCCGATAATGCACCATTATCCAATGCTTTCCAGCTAGACGAAAGGCCAGAAAATTTTCGATGCCAATTTTAACTCAAAATCAATAGTTCAGAACATATTTGATGTAAAAGTCATCTTTTCGTAGATACATGACTGCGTAACAAGAACTATATCTACAGAGCATAGAAGTTGTGCAATAAATGTCATCTTAAGCATAGGTTTGAGCGGATAATAATACCAAACTTCGTTATGATCGACAACCCTTCGCTAATGAATACTACTAGTACCGGTTTCCACCAAGCAACGAACCTCAATTTCGCACATTATAATGTTACGAACTTAATAAGGGCGAGTGTTGCTTATCTTTGCGCTAATCCCTTTGTTGGATAACTTTTTTTAATAAAGCATCCGTGCCAAAAGATTAAGGTTCTCGCTTCTACATGACTCTATGAACAAACAAACGGATAAGGACTCTCATAAAGTGTCCATGGAATCAAATTCCAGTGAAGATTAACCTGCGCAGCTTTATTCCAGATTGAATTGGACTTGGTCCGATCCTGCGTCGCAATCGCAATATA